TCAAAGACAAAAATCTCATGAATTCTTCATTTAATTTAATTCGGTGGTTACATAACTCCCCCGCCCAACTACCGGACTGTTTCTTCCAAAGTGATACCTCACATGCATTGTCCCTAAATAGCAAATGTTGATCGTCCCAATATCTGTTGGACCCACCCACCTTAGTACCACCTTGTATTAGACGATGGGTTTTTTTTTTTTTGGCCAACCAGACGATGGAATTTCGATCATCATGAGAATTTTTCTTAAAAAATTAGTTTATTACTGCGTGGGAACATCTCTCGATTTCAATACCATTTGATGGTCTTTTTTCCCCCCTTACTTGTACTAAACATGAGACACATCATTGCTTGTCTTTTCAACTGTTTGTGTGATTTATTTATTTATTTATTTTGAAAATGAGACAACTATTATATTTCTTTATTTGTTTCACAGTATAAATGGCATGTCTTATCTATAGGTATAATTTTACACATAGGTTATATTTGTTCTTAAATGACAAACAGTGAATAATTAATCTTATGAATGTAAGTGAATGTGAGTTACAAAATTAAATAAACAGTAAAAAAGTAATACATAATGAAAGTAGTAGAATTACCCGGTAAAATTGAAAAGAAATGAGTAAATCAACGTCTTGGCAAAACCAAAACCTAGGTTTCAGAATCACTTTTCCGCAAAACGAGATAATCTCCTCCACATATTTACTTCGTAATCCGTAAAAGCACTTCTGAAACCATGGTTTGGTTTCTATCCAAACACCCCCATAATATTCATATTCATAACAGAATGCTTATCGTACGAGTGACTTCACTTTTAGTAGGTCTACTAATTCTTTATTAGCCACCAGCTATCCTTTCTCATTTCGCTCTATTGTCATTTATCTCTCCGCCTCGCTGGCCAGCTGCACCCCATCAATTATGCTTTCCCGCTTAATTTTTGTCGCGTGATAATCTAATCTCATTTACGTATATTTGGATACATTTAGATTACTCATTAATAAGATTATTGACACTACTACTCAGAATATTAACAAAAGTAGTGTATATAGAGAAGGCAATATTGTTGCGGATTGCCTTGCATACTATAGTCTTAAGAGAGAGGTGGAGGAGATGATTTTTGAAAGTCCTCCCCAGGTTGTAAGAAGGTCGTTATATGCTGATTAGGTGGGTGTTGTTCTCCCGCAATCAGTGAGGATTCAATAATATTGGGCCTTAAAGCCCTGTACTATTTACCCAAAAAAAAAAGGTTATTGATATTACTAACAGGATTAAATACACAATCTTACAAGATGAGTGATGAGTCATCTTCTTATAATCAAACCAATCTCTGTTGGCTAACAAATATTTGAAAACAAGGGTATAAATAAAAGCCAATTACATAAAATAAAAAAAATAAAGACTTGATTTATATACATATATATTGGCCTTGCCTCCTTACCAATTCTAGTTATCATCACCAGCACAAAAGATATTAATGCTTGCATATATATGTTTATTTTGAAATTAATAAGATGAATAGGTTTCCTGTCCTTTTTTGCTTATTATGATTTTCAGTCTAAAATGAAATTGAACGAGTTTTAAGTAAGTCTGTGTGGCTGAAGAAAAAGAATAAGCATTAACCCCGGGTGAATCTGCTGTCCACGGTTTTCTTTAAAGAGAATCTTTGGAGACGTGACAAGATTATTAAAGTAGTAATTTAAGGAAAAAGGGCAGGACAGATCATGATCGAGGCTTAACCGTGGGAAACTTGCGATAAGCACCGAATTAAGGGGACTGAGGCAGCCAGCTGGTCGGGAAAGACGCGGTAACTAATCGGTACAATCAAATGAATGCGTTTGACCTAGTCAATCTTGCAGACTTTGATTGTAAATTATATATAGTAGTTGAGAGGATACGCATTATTTATTGTTGTTGTTAATTATTGCAGTTATTAAAATATACTGCTATATATGCATATATAAATATATATAATTAATGCAAAATGCGGAATTGTCTCAGCTCTCAAGTCTATAAGTACACTCTCCCACGCACCGCCTTGTTTTAATTGGTAGTTCTGATGTCGCTTTACTGATTCGACCCTCCTGTATGACCCTAAGATTTTATGGCAAGTCCCCCCCCCCCCCGGGGCATAATTAGCAAGACTGACAGCAGTAGACCAGTAGTAGTAACAATTAGTGATTAAATCATCCAAAGATTTAGCGATATATTCCGCCAAGAGTCTAAATTCCATTAATTAACACTTTGACAGCGGCTGGGGTTAAAACCCATTACATCAATGCTGGAGATAAGATTATTATTATTATATAGTTTCACAGACAAGCAAGACACACAGCCCGCTAATCCTTCATGTCTTCTGCATACTCTTTACTGACGACACTCAGCAAGAAAAGTGGCAAGTATCACGAAAGATCTTATTATGAAATATTATTAATAATCAACGTGGTCCGTAGGTACACGTTATGTGTTGTTTTTGTGCAGCGTCTCACGCAAATGATTTGTTGGGTCCTCATTTTTGTGTCTAATATCTTGTAACGTAATTAACCCAGAAGGGCCAAGACATTAATTGATACATGTATTTTAAGCCTACTCTTTCCATTGACATATTATATACTATATATATATATATCCTGTTATTCAAATTGATGACTAATAATGGGGTCCCTTGAAGCTGTGTCGCGCGCTGTCTGATGAACAGGCTTGCTGGCTACGGCGGCAATGAATGAAACTAGGGTAAACACATGGAGGCAATGGAAGCGTATCAAAGGAAATAAAACTCTTAAATCGGTGCAGAAAATACATAAAGCAAATAAATTTAGAGAACCACGAAACTTAACAGGTGCGACTCTTCTTCTTCTACCTGAGCTGTGTTCCAGTTTGAGCAGTAGAAGCTTTAAATTATGCATCAACCAGCACAAAATATTAAATAGTTTCCAGTTTTTGAAAGAGATGCCTGCAATATCCAATTTGCACCTCTTAAAATCATCTCCCTTCTTAAATCAAGGCCGTTATAGTTGGTGCCCTTCTTTAATGTTCTTTTCATTTGCATTACAAATTATATCTTATATTTAAGGTCAGAGTAGTGTGCGTATTTATATATATATATATATTTATATATACGTAGATGCAGTGTAGTTGGTAGTGGTCGTACAACTTCAACTGCCAACGAACAAAACCAAAATGCCCACTATGTTCGGGCAGCACAAATAGAAGTAGCAGCAGCAGCAGCACTGGTGTGCCTATAAAAGTACTACTATAGTACTCCCTCCGTTCCTTATTATAAGAGACGAATAACCGAATTACGTTGATCAAAAAAACAGTTAAAATTAGTTAAGAACAATTAATATGTAAAAAGTATAATTTTTTTTCCAAAAATGCCCTCATTAATAAGGAGAGAGAGCATGAAAGAGAACAATAGTAAATTCTTAAAAGAAAGAAAAGTGGGAAGGAGAGAGTGTGAGTTGGAGACAATAAATATGGGTAAAATAAGAAATCAATACAAAAAAGTAGAGACAACTTTTAAGTGTCTCTTATATTTAGGAACATGCTATAAGCATCAAATGTCTCTTATAATAAGGAACGGAGGGAGTAATAAAAATCTCCCACTTATTAAACTCTCTATTAAAACTACTGTGATGGAATTAATATGGGCGGTCCTCAAAACCGTAATGCATGGAATGATTTTTTTTTTCTTATTTTGTTATGAAGTTGGCATAACTTCGCCACGGGAAGAGAGCGTAACTGAAGATAATACTACCTCCGGTCTTTATTATAAGACTCTATTTGACTTTTTGTTTGGTCCTAATTATAAGACCCCGATCCGTTTTGTCTCTCATATTTATGCATTTTTTTCTAAAATAATCCTTCTAATAATGATAGTTCTAGCCAATACACTTAATTAGCAAGGATATTTTAGGAATGACAACACTTATTTATTACAAATAACTAACTTAATTTACTTTTTTAATCTTCTCAAATAAGTCAACTGGGTCTTATAATTAGGACTGAAAGTAGTAGTTTGTGAAGTGTCAATAAAAAGAAAAGGCCCATTGTGAACTACAAGTTTCATGAAAAGGGACAGGCCCCTACGCACAAATAATCCACGTCGCAAGAATAGAAGCAGAAGTGCAGAAATATCGGAGTGCCTATCAAACTATAAATTGGGATACCTAAAAGCCATTCATCGGGGCCCCCTTGACGTGATGACTGCACTCGCTCAAAAGAAAACGACAAATGCGGGAACTCAAACAAATCCTTCGTCTTAAACTAGTAGTAATATAGTAACACCAATAATAATAATAATCTCCAATTTATTGAATTTCCTACAGAAGTGATTGAATGAACGATGCGAATACGCCGGGGCCTGCGCAGCTCCATTTACACAGAACTTTGTTTTCTGCAGATATATATAGTTCGAGACGTGAAAAGAATCAAATAGAGAGCTAAAAATTTATTACTTGACATGGGGTCAATCGTTCAGCCTCATGTAGCGAACTGATGAAGAGATGGGATATATATATATTTATATAGTTGAATGTTGTGTCCATATCTCAATGAGCAGTGTACGTTACGTTGCATTCATGTCGGTGTTCTTGAAGGAATTCACTCGGGAATAGCTCGCGATTTATGATACAGACTCCATCACTCACGATAAACCAGTAAACTATTTGTTATAAGTTATAACAGATGGAAGGAAAGGCAAATAAATAAAATCGAGTGTCCAAGTTGATGAGGACAGCTAAATATATATGCAGCAGGATAAAACGTGCAATCTTATTCACAATTATATATAGCCGCGCCCACGGACGCCCGATCAGCATGTGTCGTTAATAAATAAAATTTTGCTAGCCGTCATATCATTGTAACTTGATGATTGATTTATTTGGGTATATCTCTGAAAATAGTGCATAAATCAACGGTTGGTGGAATTCTGCTTGCGTGCGGCAGATAGAAATGAACGAAAAGGACACAAGTGAGTGATATATATAAATAGAGCGTACATGAGGAATAAGTTCGTGGGGAAGGGAAGCAGCCACAATGGTTGTGCTGATGAAGTTGGGTTGGTCTTCTTGTTTCACTTGGAGCTCGGTGCTCCGTTTGGTGTTGTTATTGGTGGTTTCGTGCAAAGCCAAGGGTGCGGTGAAATTGCCACCCAATGTCTCAGTTCCAGCAATCTTTGCATTTGGAGATTCCATCATGGACACCGGCAACAACAACCACCTCAAAACAGTAGTTAAGTGCAACTTCCCTCCTTATGGTCAGGATTTTGAGGGAGGCATACCAACTGGCAGGTTTTCCAACGGGAAGGTTCCTTCAGACATCATAGGTACTAATTCCCTCGTATTCCTTCTCTTTGCTTTCTCCCTTTTTAATTAGTCTGGGTCTGGTATTGCAATTCCTGAGTGTACTGGTATTACTAACTTTTCGTTTTCGTTTTCGTTTTCACGGCAAGAAGAGGGAGGATATATATTTGATCAGTTGAATAATGCAATATGTCCAATATATCCGAGGGAACTAGCAAGCAATATTTAATGTGGTCATGCGACGTGACGTAACCGTCCGTATCACCCGCAAATAAACATATAAACGTTTTGATAGAATGAGCCACCTGTTGCTTGGGCAATTAATAGAAAGGAAAAATCAGTCCAAAGTTGGTGAGTTGCTTTATGTAAAAGATATTATGTGCACACACTATATATGTGTATGTGTATATATATATCCACTGCATTCTATAATTAGGATCATTTTTATCCTGCTAATTTTTACTAGCTAGCAGGACAATATGTCATCCGCTCCTAAATAGAAGAACTAGTTAACTAATTTGAGTAGATTAAGAAAATAAGTTAAGTTAATTATTTGTGATAAATAGTTATCGTCTTTCCTAAAATATTCTTGGTAATCAAGTGTATTGGCTATAACTACTATTATTAGAAGGACTATCTTAGAAAAAAAAAGTTAGATAAATATGAGAAATAAAGTAGATTAGGATCTTATATTTAAGATCAAAATAAAAGTCAAATGAGATTTTATATTAAGAACCAGAAGTAGTAGTAATATATACTACCTCCGATTCTAATTATAAAAACTACTTGACTAATTTAAGGAGATTAAGGAAAGAAGTTAAGTTAGTTATTTGTCATAAATAGGTATTGTCTTTCCTAAAATATCCTTACTAATCAAGTATATTATTTAGAATTACCATTGTTAGAAAGACTATCTTGAAAAAGAATACATAAATATTAGAAACAAAGTGGATTGGGATCTTATATTTAGAATAAAAATAAAAATAAAATGAGATCCTATATTAAGAATCGGAGGTAGTATATTTTACACAATCGTCTGTGACGTGTGATAACGCTCGGGGCCGGTCGAGGTGCTGTTGAGCTTTCATTTTTCTAAATTCTAACGAATTGCAATTTGATTGGCATATGTCAGTTGAGGAGTTGGGTATTAAGGAGTTCTTGCCTGCTTATTTGGACCCAAATCTGAAACCTAGTGATCTTCCTACCGGCGTCTGCTTTGCTTCCGGTGCCTCGGGTTATGATCCTTTGACCCCCAAAATTGTGGTATGTAACATACGCGCGCGCGCGCGCGCTCACACACAGTAACGCACCTGCGTATTCATGTAATTAATATATTCAGGCGTCCAATCTTTTTGGGTTGTTTTGTTTTCTTACTTGAGATTGAACAATGCATGCGAATCAGTCAGTGATACCGCTATCGACCCAAGTAGAGATGTTCAAAGAATACAGAAGGAAGCTGAAAGAGAATGTAGGAGAGGAGAGAACAAACTTCATCCTAGCCAACGCCGTTGCTCTTGTGGTTTCTGGCAGCGATGACATTGCCAACACATATTTTACCGCTCGCTTTAGACAGCTCCAGTACGACGTTCCTGCTTACACTGATCTTATGGCCAATTCAGCCTCTGATTTTATCAAGGTACCCAAAAAAAAAAAAAAAGTGAACCGTCACGTACAGTTTAATCACTCTACTGGGAATTAGTGTCTGATGAACGAGAGCATGTTGAATTGGAAACTAGGAAATATATGAACTAGGGCTGCGGAGGATTGGGGTGTTCGGTGCCCCGCCGATCGGGTGTGTGCCATCACAGAGAACTCTCGGAGGGGGAATATTAAGAGAGTGCGCGGGAAAGCAAAACGAAGCAGCAAGGTTATTTAACTCGAAGCTATCAGAGAAGCTGGATTCCCTGAACAGGGATTTACCAAACAGCAGCATTGTGTATATTGATGTTTACAGCCCTTTGCAGGATATCATTCAAAACTACAGAAGATACGGTAATACTATGTTGATGATTCTTACAATTCGCTCTCCAACATTATTAATAATTATAGAGTATGTTAAGGAAGGTGGGAAGTGCGTCTATATGCAGGGTTCCAGGTGGTGAACAGAGGATGCTGCGGAACAGGGAAAATAGAGGTGGCGGTGTTGTGCAACCCTTTGGAGCCGACTTGTGCAGATGTTTCCAATTATGTGTTTTGGGACAGTTATCATCCCACTGAAGCTGCCTATAAAAAGCTCATTGGTCCTCTTCTTCAAACTTATGTTCCCAAATTCTTCTGAGCCAGCCCCTGCGCCCATCCCCCATTTTAATTTTACTCTTATCTTCCTCTGCTCGTTTTCTTTTTCTTTCTAGCAGCTTCTTAATTTCCATAGTAAGTGCAGTTCGTGATTAATCAAGCACCATGTGTATGTTCAATTAATACACGGGACGGGGACGGGCATCCTTGTCATAATTACCTCTCTTTTCATTCATTTCCTTTCCTTCTTGGTTCATGTATGCAACTTCGAGTCATCTCCCCGCACAAACATGCTTTTTAAGGGTTTGACGCTACAATTTCAGAAATACAATTAATCTGTTATATTAAAAATGACAGATAAATAAAAAACAATTAAACAAATATATTACTAAGACAAGAGTGCGTGCCTGTTACTCAAAAATATCAACAAGCAGCGGAACATGAAAAACAGAGATGCGTCTTGAAATTTGGGAGGTAAATCGGTGCTTATCTGCTGGAACAGCATTTCTTTCCTCCTCTTTTTCGCCATAGACGCAGTTGAGAGTGAGGTTTAGTTCAATGCAAAAAATGAGCATATTTAAAAATTGGATACAGTAATTAGCGAATGCAGAGCAGATGCTTATCCTATTCATGGGAGATGCATTTCAGCTGTGAAATTTAATGCCAAAGGCATCCTCCGTCGAATTAAGTTTAAGATGTAGTTATTACTACTTTTAATTAGCGGCTGGGGTCCGGAAGCATGACTGTGATCCATTTGGAGTACAAGTGGCATTGTGATGGATTAACGTTTGAGGAGAAGGTAGTTGTGCAGAAGATATAAATGTTAAAAACAGTGTGACATGAAAGTAATTTGATGCTTGGGGCTCCTCACATCATATTTATGGATCGCACAATTAGGAAACTCGGGATATGCATGCGCTTGGCCTCCTTCTCTCATCTCTTATTGTTCCTATTATTGCCTCTCAATTCCCTTCCTCTTTGTCTGAGAACTCATCACAGCGTTTGAAGACACGTCTTTCAGCAGAAACGGCTATCACGGAGACGTGTTTACATGTGTGTGTGTGTGTGTGTGTGTGTAGAGAGAGAGAGAGTTTAGAGAGCCAAGAGCCAAACACTTACGGTTGAAGTCAAACTCTTTTATATCACCAGGTTATGAGATTATTGGATCAATGAGCCTTGGGTCAATGGCATCAAATCTCTACGTACGTGGCTTAAAGGAAGTATGTGTTGTATTTGGGTGTGTGAGGGAGGGTTAGGATAGGCGAGTGAAAAACACAAAAAGGATCATTATGCATAATTTTAACCATGTTATTAGGATGTAGCCTCATTACTGGAAACGCAGCCAGAAAAATGCTATCTGTTGACGTTGGTCTATCAAAATTCATCCTTTCAAATCCTCATTGGCTTTCACTTCAGGGTCAAAGGTGCAAAGTGAAGCCTTGTGGTCGACTGATCCTGTTGGTGCTATTATTTGACAACTACTGTTGCTCTTGCTTCCCCTGTGAGCTCGCACAGGCCATATTTACAAACTCACTTGATTCGGTAACTCGCCCAAAAAGTTGAGGACTCAACCAAATTGAACCTTTGAGTCCCATAGACCAAAGTTTCCCTCAACAGGCCCTATTTACAGCTTAATGAACTAGTTCTATATTAGTCAAGCTAAAAATTTGTTTCACGTACTTATCTTATATTTTGTTAATCATGATTAAAAAAAATTTCATATATCATTTCAAACAGGCCCTATCGAACTCTCGCCTCAGTTTTCATGTGTTTCTGTCAAATTTATGCATTTTTCTTTAGTGGTGGTTTTGACCGGTAGTTACAAGGGCTTGTTAGATATTCTTCTTGTGTTGTCAAGGCTTAAATTTATGTTGTCTTGTATCATTTTATTTGTTTGGAACGTACTCCCGCCGTCCAATTTGCACCATGTTTTGTTTTTTTAGAAAGAAAAAAAACACCAAACCCAATATTTTACCTGGAAATCACAGTAGAAGATAATTGAATTTTGTTTCGTAATGCTAAAATACATGGTCTATATGTAATCGGATATAATTAGAGAGTGAGTCTGGGTTTTCCAACAAAATTGAAAATAAGTTGCATCATTCACTGAATTCTATAACTTTCTTAAGGTTTTGACATTCTACATTGTTATTGTTCATTTCAATTTCTTCGCAATCAATGAGCGTTAAAATTACTTATACATTTGTAGCCAACAAAATTACCTACACATTGTTTATATTAAAATCAACTTCAAATTGCACTACTTATAAGAAAAAAATTTAGGCACTAATTTATATACGTATAGAAGTATTTCCTAGTTTAAAAAAAAAATTTTGTTGAAATTTTTACCTAAAAATCTGTTCAATTTATTATGTCATTTGATCAGAAAATTTCTTTTGGGTAACATATTAACGAAATCTAATTCTTAGTTCTAAATATAAAGTCTATTACTTTGAATATATAAGCAAATTAAAAAGACAAATTCATTTAAATTTCGTTTAACAAATGTGGAAATTTCTATTTATATTTTTATTGTGTTAATATCTGTCCTTATAATTGAAAGAATGATGCCTTCGGCAAAAAATTTAAAAAAAATTAACGGAAAAAAAATGGAGCAAAAACATTTCGCAGCAAGAAGAAAATTATAAGGGGATGATGGCCCTTGACAGAAGAAGGAAATGGGAGAGTCTGTGTCTCGCAGCTTAGATCCCCGACCTCACATGGATGAGTTCATACAACAAAACTCAGGCTAAGGAGGGGTTTGGAGGTGAGAACAAACTGTCCTTTTGGCTGTGAGGATTTGGAAGACGATATGCACTTGATTTGTGACTGCAAGAATGCCATTAACAGATGGAGATCAGTGCTTGACCCATTGTACTGGACCCAGTTTAACTCCCTTGAAGGAGCAGACTGGATCAAATGGAATCTTCATAAGGAAGCGGGCAAGGTTTTCACAAAGAAACTCACCTGGGCATCTTTATTTCCTTACATTTGTTGGGACATTTGGGTCACAAGATGTAACAAACTTTTTGATCCAAATATTACTAATGAAGAACCTAGTGCTTTTCCAAGTTTCTTTAAAGCTTACTGTGACCAAGATATGATCGCCAACTACTCTTTCTATAAACAGGATAGTAGTAGAGGTAAAGAACATCAACCATTGCAGGGACACTATGTCACTCTAGAAGTAGATGGGTCAGTTCTACAGGATGGACGTAGTGGATGCAGAGGAATTTTAAAGGATGAAAAAGGCGGATGGATCTGCGGCTTCAGTTGTAAGCTCACAACAGTACCTTCAGCCATTGTAGAAACTAGGAGTGTTCATGATGCCCAATAGCCCGGTATGCCCGCCCGTGCCCACCAAAAAAACGCCCTGCCCAGCCCAAAAAAAAGTGGCCCGAAGAAAAAATGGGCATTTTTGGGCAGGGCTAATCACAGGCAGGGCTGGGCCACGGGCATGGCATGCGGCCCTGCCCATTTGGCCTTGCCCAAAAAAATATATATGTATTTGTGATTATTTATATTATAATATGTATTTTTTTGCTAGAATTATAATAAATATAGTGCAATATTAAGATATTATATTTCAATACAAAGGAAATTGCTCCATAAGACTCTACATTTTTAAAGTTTTAGTTATTTTAGAAATACCACCTTTTTTTTTTAACTTTTCTAAATTACTTTGCTATGTACTATAATTGTCTTTTAACTTTTTCATGTTGATATTACTTCATATATCATGAAATTATACTAATTTAAATGTGACATATAGAACACTATAGATTATATTGAATCATAAGTTAATAATATAATTGAATATGTTAACGTAACTTGTATTGTGAAGATTGATGCAAATCATTTGAACTTTAAGGCTTTAATTATAATTTTTTATTGTCTTGTTTTTTAAAAATAAGGATATTATTTAATTCCTGGAGTATAGATATTTATTAAAACATACAGTAGTATTTTAAATTTCAAGACTTGAATTGTAACATTGGGCAAGAAAAGCCCGCCCTGCCCAGCCTGCATTAGCCCTGGCCAAAATGTCTAGGGCTTCTACTGGGCAGGGCTGAGCAGCGGGCTGCATTTTACAGCCCGCATATCTTTCGGGCTGGGCATCGGGCAGGGGTTCTGCCCTGCCCAGCCCTGCCCATGCACACCCCTAGCAGAAACACTAGCCATTATGCAAGGATTACAAATTAGCTGGCCAAAAGGATTTAGGCGAGTTATGCTTTACTCAAACTATATTGAAGCCATAAATTTGGTTTCGCGAGGTTGCAATGCGGATCACCCTTTTTATGACATTATAAATGATGCACGACTGCTTCTGAATAGAGATTGGCAGGTCTTGCCGTTCTTCATCTACAAGGAAGACCTCTCCAGACTCTAGTGCAGACCTCCTAGCTAAAGCTACTCATAGTTTGGACACCCCGTTTTGTGTTTTCGATCACCCCCCATCCTTTCTAAGTAGGGAAGGATGACGAGAGTTTACTTGTTTCTGTTTTAATTTGTTGGTTCTGTAATGACATCACTTTCAATTCAAAAAAAAAAAAAGATCCCCGACCTCAGCAAGTTCTTTTTTTGGGCCAGCAATTTGCTCTTACTGGGAAACACGCATGTATCAGAGTCACCGAAATCGAATGAATCCCTCTCCCTCTCTGTACCGCCGTTCCCTCCCCACCCTCTCACTCGCATATCACGACAAAGTCAATTTCCTATTTTCAGAACTACCGTCAACCAACGTTTCTGCATACTGCAATTCCATCCCCTCGTCCTTTGACTTGACTCATCCCGAATGTCCTCCTTTACGCCTCTCTCTCTCTCTCTGCACGCCTGCCGGATAGGAGTGAGCAACAAACCCATTACCCGCTAGCCCGCCTATAACCCATGAAATTTTTGCCCATTTAAGCCCGCCCAATTAGCCCAAATAAGAGATTATAAATGGGCGGGCTTAAATGGGCAGGGTAGCCCATTAAACGGGTTGGGCTATGGGTAAGGTATTGGGCTGCCCATACCCGCCCATTTAAGTTTTAAGTTTTTAAAAATATTTTTATTCTTCATTTAATTGATGATATTGTTTCTCATTCATATTTTATCAAACCTTCATACTTGTCTAAGTTTTTATTTTATCCTTTAGGTAAAAGTTGGAACTTTCAAAGTTTATAAGACTTTATGATTGGTGACTATTTTTATGATTTTATCAGACTTTAATTGTTTGTGAATCTAAGTAAGGTTGTGTGATTGAATATAGTTGATGTTATTTCATATTTGATTTGCTATTTGGCATGCAAAATTTATTGACAGCTTCATAAAGTTACATATATAAAATTAGGGGTGTTCAAAGCCGGCCCGTCCCGGTCGGCCCGTTCCGGTCCCGGTCTTATTGGGACGGGACGGATCCGTCCCGAAATTTTTCGGGACGGGACAAACCGGGACGAGACAAAAAAGGGACCGGGACGGGACGGGACACAGGACGGGGTTGTCCCGTCCCGGTCCCGTCCCGGTTCCTTTTTTAAAAAAAAAATTAATTTTTTTAATTTTTTATATAATATCATTTTTTTCATATTTTTTTAAGATTTGAGACTATTGTATGGAACTATGGATATATTTATTTAGAGTTTTTATATTTGTTAATGATTTGAGATTATTGATGATTAGAATTTTTAGCAAGTTTTATTGTGTTAAAAGCTTTTGTTTAGAGTTTTTAATAACTATTATATGTAATATTTTGAGCTTTTGTTTAAGAGTGCCCAAACAAATAAAAAAGATGTTTTTATAAGATTTAAGCTCAAAAAAATATAATTAAAAAAATTAGATTTTTTTTAAAAAAATTAAAAAAATTAAAAAAAAATTAAAAAAATTTTAAAAAAATTATTTCGGGACGTCCCCCGGGACGGGCCGGGACACGGGACAGAAAATCTGTCCCGTTACTGTTCATCGGGACGGAACCGGGACGGGCCTGTCCCGGTCCCGATCCGTCCCGTGAACACCCCTATATAAAATAATTATATTGAAAAAAAATTTAAAAAATAAATGGGTTACCCCATAACCCGATCAGCCCAAACGGGCTGCCCCGTAGCCCATTTAATATGGGCTAAATGGACTACTACCGGGTTATGGGTTAGCCCATGCCCATTTATAAATAAATAGGCGGGCTATGGGTTAACCTTCGAGTTAGCCCACCCCGCCCATTGCTCAGTCCTACTGCCGGATAGGACAGGTTTTCTTCACCGCACTTGAATTTTTCAGATGGTTGGGGCGCCAATCGCCATATGAGCTGTGTTGGGTAAGAGGGAAATGTTGAGGCAATGGTAATCAATCAGAGTGCTCACCATGCTTTAAACAGCCTTCTCCAATTTGTATGCTTTAAAACCACCGAATAACACCCCATTCCTTTAAACAGCCTTCTCCGACACATAACCCGGTAACGCATTCCACCTGGTTTTCAAAGCAAGGTGTTTCTTCTCCTTCCTCTTCGTTCCTGTCACACACGCCTGCCTCTACCCCAGGCACCCAATATTAATGCCTCTCCCCATCATTCATGTCATCTCGTTTCAAATCAGCTTCACTGCAGTTTGATCAATTTATGTCGTTAGCTCAGCACAAGCACAAGATGTCCCCATACAGACGAGGCGGGATAAAAAGGATGGTATTTTTAACCAAACATGTCTGAAGACTTTCATTTACGCCTCCCCCCTTTTCTTTTCCAGACGTGTTATGCAAAACCCCATTCCCCCCAAAATTGCATCCTCATTGGACCCAAAAAAAGGTGGCTGCTCATACGAGCAGAAGACAAGTTTCGAGAATTTGATTCTTTTCCCTCAAAAAGAAAATATTTACAAATATAAAAGGAACTAGTGACGAAATATATGAAGTTCTGAAGCTAGAATACAAAAACATGCTCTGGAATCTGGACCGACCTCATATTTCTTTTTCTTTTTTCTTATCTCTTCAACGCTTTGCGGACCCCTAATGGAGATGTAGCAAACCTAGTGTTAATTGGTGAGCCAGAGTAGGAAGCGACAAGAGAAGAAGCAGGGGGCGATGTGAAAGCTCTTTCTTAATCCTCAAAATGGAGCTGTCGAGGTTCTAAGCAAAGTACACCTTTTGAGATGCCGATCCAAGGACCTCTGGCGGAGCTGCAACCGATGGAACGTCATCAATAATGAATATTGGATTCACTAACATCGCCAAAAGCTCTGAGTACTGTCTTGCACTGCGAATAAAGGGGTACTTCGGTTTCTTTGTTTGACACACAGTGGAGATTGAGTCAAATACATAGACCAAACTCCACTCCACTCTAGCTTTTCCCAAGAGTCATTGAAAAAAAAAAAAAAAACTTTTAAGCTCTATGGAAACTTTAAACACATTCCAAAATGGAGGGTAATGAGATTATGACCCAAAATAAAAAAAGATAAAGGAAACAGAAAGAGCGGACCTTCTCTTGCTGTCTTCTGAGTCTGGCATTCTCCTCTCGTAGACTTGCAAGTTCGCGTTCTAACTCGTTCGTATAAGCCTGGGGATATTAAGGTCTGAGTGTCACGACTCACGAATGAAACAGAGAATGCTGAAGGGACTGGATAGTGATGGGCACCAACAATAAAGGTGGCGGGAAATGAGAGAGAGAGAGAGACTCCTGTATAGGGGCCCTAGAGCAAGCGGAGGACTCTCTGTTCTAGATCATGCGCTGATGGCGGGGATCAGAGGAGCCGTGGATTTGATGGCGGGTTCTCTTGTTGCTGGGGATGCGAGAGGAAGAAGAATGAAAAGCAGAGGAAGAGGGAGGAGAGAAGAAGTGATGAAGTAGGGAAGTGTGGGAGATGGGGTAATGGCAGAGAGAAAAAAGTTTGATGTCGCTCCACACCTCATCCATGGTTTTTGTAACTGTGCTGCTGCCGTCGCCTGCCATGCCCCTCTCTCACTTTGCAATTCCGCCCTAGACATTCACAGCTCCTCTTTCGGTCAATCTCTTGGGAAGGATGACGTCATCAACATGCAACTTTTTTTTTGGGGAACTAAAGGAACAGGAAACTACAAAAAAAATCACCTGTTCTCTCTGATAAGTCCAAAATATTCTTAATTCTAAGAGTGTGTTTAGTAAGTACGTTAAGCGAATGAGCTAAGAAGTTTGAGAAGGTGGAGTAAGCCTGAAAGATTCGTTTGTTCCTTCCGACTGTCTCATAGCTTCCAGCAGAGCAGGTCAAATTTGATCATTCAAACTTGACTATTGTTCAGTGGGTTGAGGTTATGGAGCATCCACTCAACAAAGGAAGGTTGGGAGCGTAATTTATTAGTAAAGCGCCTCCTCAGGCCTCACCAAAAAAAAAAATACATAAATAAAAAATTCCTCAGCCCCTCACGAGCTGTCATTGCCAGCTGGGTGCCGGTCATACCCTGCTAGCTTCGCACACTTCTGGTCTAGTCGGCTCAGTCTCCAGTTCGATCCGATTGATTTGGCCCTGTAGGTTTTCTTTTTTTCTTCTCTTTCCTTTTGTTTCTTAGCACTCTCATTTATTTTTTAACATCATAAACTATTTAGTGATACAATTTTATCTTTAAACTAATAAAAATGGAGTAATTCCACCCAACATAACAGGTTCCTCTTAACACCGTTTGCTTAATTGGCACATGGGCTTTTTTTTTTTTCCCAAATAATGATAGTCATGCATTGTGGCAGCCACAACTTGTCCATCGGAAGCTGAAAACCCAGAATTGGGAGGGAAAATGGGGGGGGGGGGGGTGAAGGTTTTCATCATAAGATTATGTTCCTATAAAAGTTAGAGATGGAGAGGTGGGAGAGAGAAGGGGAGAGAGGAGAGAGAGAGAAAGTTGCAGAGAGGAAAGAGGAGGATCAAGATTGCAGAGGAAATCTAGAAAGTGGCAAAGCGAAGAGTGAAAGAGTTACGAGATACTCTATCTCTGATTGTAAACCCATTTGAATCTGATGAGAGTACTCACTAAGAAACGGGATGTGAGAATGGAGAGGCTAAGCACAAGTGATGAAGTGAGTGCAGTGCACTTTACGGTGATGCACAAGGTGTGGCCACAACGCAGTATTTATCATTATTAAATTAAAAAAAAAAAAGGGAAATGCCCATCTATTGGTCAGCAAACACAGTTAAGAAGGGTTGTTAAGTTGGTGGGATTGCTCCATTTTTATTAGTTTGGGAGTTAAAATTATACTACTAAACACCTCTGAAAATAAATACCCTTTTTGGTTTTTTTTTTTTAAGGAAATGAGTAAAACTCCTTCGGAAACACAAAGAAACATGCAAAATCAAGGAGATTTTTAGTTAATGTTAAACATTTTTTGAAGTGATCCCTCAACGGTCGTGAAGACACTTTTTATTAAATAACTGAGAAATTTCAGACTCCCCCTTAATTAATATTGAGCAAATCCTCTGGGCGTTCGAGTTCGACCATCACCTCTCACGCTTGGAATTACGAATCCATCTGATTTTGCTTTGCCATTGTTAAGAGCGACTTGTAACAATCAAATTATTCGCCAGCATAACAACTAGCACTGAAACGTACAACCTCCCCTGATTATCATTTATCTTAAAGGAAGAATATGACTACCACCAAATTATATGGCCGGACAAATGTAAAACATACTGCTTGGAGGCGAGGGATGGAAGATCCATCAGACTCAAAATAAAATATCTACATTGAAACGCAGGAAGAATAATAAATGAGGAAATCCTTTAATAAAATAACATTATAAAAAAATAAAATAAATAGGCCTTGAGAGATTTCTTTTATCTGTCACGCTTATGCGGGTACATGAAACTCGGCAGTGCAGCACCTGGGCTCAAATCATCCCATCGGAGAGTCTCTCCTCATTTCTCTCTGGTATGAATCCATCCCACAACACAGGCTAACCACAAACGACAAGAAAATCATCCGAAGCAAATATAAACTATACAAATCTGTTCATTAAATCCGTCCGGACCAAAATTCTTAATTTGTTCTATGTCTGGTCAACCTTCCTTACCTTAAGATGTAATTATGAATAAATCCTTATTTCACCTCCTACGTGACTCAATCACTACCAAAATCGAGCTCCGTGACTGTGGAAGAAATCAGACTCCAAAACAGCCTCTCTTCCCATTCCCAAGATAAGAAAAAAAAAATCTAATAAAATTAGGGAGAACAAAAAAAATCAAAGGTAGTACCCAGTACGGATACTGGATAATCAGCTGGAATAATTTGTGGCTCAAGTATATTATTTAGGCGCAGTCTTAATTGGTGTTCCCTGAAGTATCATCGGTTGGAAGCAGAGGATGACAGGAAGAATCTGTTGGAGATCTTTCTTCTAGAGCTTCTGACGTAGGGTCTGAATTACCTCTATCTGTAGCAGCTTCACCCAGAGCAATCTTTTGAAAATCAGTTGCTACGTTATTGCAGCTTGATCCAACAGGAGATGATGAACCAGAATCAGCTCGAAGCTGAGATGAGGGCAGCCACTTCATCCATTCATTACGCCTCCGCATCTTGTCACCCTAAGACAAATAGTTGGGTGAGGTCACAGCACCACCAACAAAATAATTACCTTCTTTTGTTAAATTAAAAGCATAATCATCACTTAAACATTCAAATTAAAAGCCAAATTTACACCATTGCCCAACTCACCACCCCATGCAAGCAATAGATAATACTCCCTATGATTCTAAATATAAGAGTTAGTTGAAAAATTTATTTTGATCTTAAATTTAAGACCTCAGTCCTCTTTTATTTCTAATATTTATTACTTTTTTCTCAAACTACCCTTACTGATTGCATACACTCACATACATAAACGTGTGAAATCAACAAGGGTAGTTTCCAATGTAAACAACTAAAAGGAGGGGTACTTTAGAAAACCAATACATTTTTAACAAATAAGTAACTTAATTAATTTTCTTAATCTGTATTAATTATCTAACTCATACTTTTAGGACCAAAGGGAGTACATTGCATGTAAAGAGTGTGCTGATTGTGCATCGAACGAGAAGCTAATCACATAGATAAAACCATAAACTCAGACATACTATTTACCTGTACTTCCACAACCGCAGAATTTCTCAATGAATCCAGTATCACCTGAATGTTGTTTGTCAAACTTTTAACCTACAAAACAGATCCAAGTGAAGAAAAAAACAAACTGCAAGAAGGAATTAAGGCTACTAAGATTTTACAGTGAGATCAATACACAAACGGACTCCTGAAAGATACTTTTATCACAATAACGGACTGGATATAAGTTGTTCTTTAGAGGTGTTTTGATATGATATGATTTGATTTCTTCTAGTGAAATTTTGCCCCAGGACTTTTTTCCCGCCACTGAGAGGGGGTGCGTTCAAGATTAAGGAGACAAATAAATAATATCCTAATATTTTAGCACACAGCTGCTTCCTGAAACAAAGAAATCTTTAGTCAGGATTCATAGTTAGGTTTGGCATCTACATTAAGAGAACTGCCAGAGAATTTTCATCCCTCTTCAATCACACTGTGTATCTTTCCCTGTTATCTCTGTTAAACAAAGAACCAATTGCCTGTATGCATACATAAACAGGTAAAAATCATTAAAGTTCGTTATTGAATAGCGTTAATTATTCAAACATTTTACCACTAGAAATGGATAGTTACACAAATGAAAGATTGACATAATAGAAGACTGATGATTTCAGAAACATCAGAGTTTCATCCTCCTTTGTGCGGTGGCACACGATTTCAATCATATAAAACTTTGAGATATGCTTTACATTGAAACAGGACTGGAAAATCCACACACTTAAAGGTGCATAAGTCGTTCATCGCCCTTGGAGTGTATAAAGGAATCAATGTCCCTAAGTCAAGTCAACCATAAGTATGACCCGCCAAATGCTCGGACGATTAATTTTTTACAGACTTTACACTCAAATCTCATAACCAAGTTTCCACATCCAATTACTTGGGAAACCAAAATACCTACGAACCAACTACCACCTATGCATCCAAGAGCTAGTTCTCTTTTTTTTTTTAATATACCTTCGTTGAGTTGTTTTTTGCTCGTTTCACAAAAGAAAACTATCCACGTTTCAAAATACGTAACAGTAAAAAAATAGTTGAAAGGCAAGGATGATCATTCAGCTTTTAGAAATCTTCCTAGAATGTCAGGGTCAACGTCTTTCCCAGGTGTCAACTACTGCAAACATGAACACCCTATCAAGAGTGCGCTAAAGCACACGACTATTCTTCTTCCATCATTTAATATTAAAGGCATTGTATACATTCAATAAAAATATTTCAAGGAACAGGATAATGAAAACGTAACACATAATTAAAAGAATATATTTACATAAATTATATTTAAAAAAGATATGCAGATTACTATCCTCATGCCCTAGTGTATCGTCCCTTCTATGTAACTTATTTTCTGCACTTAAAAATATATTGCGCAACAACTGGTGAGAACTGACAGATGTATAGCATGCATTGGAAAAAAAGAAAAGAAAAGAAAAACCGAGATATCAGGCTTCATACACAGGAGATACGTAACAAAATCAGGTTCGCACATCCTTGTTGGACATCATTGAAGGTGGGTTATTCATCATCCGGATTTTTTTTTTGGGGGGGGGGGGGTGGGGGCGCTTGCTCCTCTTAATTGCATGGCTAAGTAACAGCAAAAGGGATGTCAAAAGAAATCTCTGAAGATTAGGCAACTCAATATAAGAACTACTCAATAAATGCACCAGTGAAAATAACCCATTCTAATTTTTTCAGTTATGCGATAAACTATGTTCAAAGGATCCAAGGTAAATTCGTTGGAAGTATTGCCTAATTGAAGACAATAAACTTACCCGACGGAAGTTTGCTATCAAAGCAATGGGAACCCAACCCTGTTCATCCATGTTGGATCTTAAAAAATCATCTTTCACTAGATTAGCATCACTGTCAAAAACAAATAAAAGATTCAAATTTCAGTTTTTACAAAAAAGAAACAAACATCACAAAGCACAATTAAGTTACCTAAAGTAATAATCAATTTGGTTCATTAGCATATTTGTCAGAGGAGGTTCTGCAACAGGGAGAAACATGGCAGGAGGAGGACCATGAGTAATGAACGGCATGCCCCTGAACGGCTCTAGTGGTAGAGTTGGGAAATAATAAAATTCTGGAAAAGAAGAGAATACATTAGCCCTACTTTATTTTATAGAAACAAAATTCTAAAAGGGCAAAAGAATTCCACCTGGAAAACCCATGGGGTTTGCAAAGGGTCCCATGGGCGGAGGGGCAACAAATGCAGGAGTATTAGGAGGGGGGTGCCTCACTAATCCCCTAGGAGACATCCTCTGTTGGTGTACTTGAGCATCTCTAGAGTTTGCATGATTTCCACGATCATGGTCACGCCTACCCCCGTGGTTATTATGATAGGATCCATCCCCACGTTGATGGGGCCCGAAATTGCCTCTGCGGGGAGGATTCCAATGATCATTCACAGCAGGCACAAAACCCCCAACTGGTGGTCTTGTATCCCAGCTATTGTTCCTGTAAGGGATTTCCCTTGGAGAATGATCTGAAACCCCTGGCACCACATTACCATAGGTACTTACCGGTATAGGAAATACAGGAAAGGGCGGTGGTGGGGGAGGTGGGGGAGGATTAGAAAAGCTGCTCTGAGCATGACCAACCCCAGGGCTGTTGCTACCTCCACGCTTCATTGACCTTTGTCTATGATGCACAGCATAGTTTGTTGCAGAGTTAGGCTTTGCATTGTTAGTAGGTTGCTTTTGAGGGGATTGTAAAGTGCCAGAGCCCTACAAAAATATGGCAACATACATGAATATACAGATTCGACATCTTTTCCCAAACATACATACTAACCGATTGCCGGACAAACGCAGAAAAAAAGGAGGCCACAACCTAAGCGGCTGGTTTTAGTGACCGATGAACCTACACGCCTATAACTTCGTTGCCGGAAAAAGGTGAATCTTCTTGCAACCATTCCCTTCTATCTTTTCCAATCAACTAGTAAAATGGACATAAAAACTAGGGCAAGTATTGTAACCAAACCTGAGAGGGGGAAAGTGATCCGTCAAAGGCAGTCTTAGAGGAGGAGTCAGCTGACATTTTGGACGAAACCTTCGTGGATTTAGATAATGCGGGCCAAGTAACAGCACCCATTACTGGACCAGCCTCGACAACGCCGTTCGAAGGTTTGCTCCAAGCGGGCCTCTTAGAATGACCCGCATTGGCGTCGGAAGCGTCGGAGTTATCTACGGCAGCAACATTAGAATTATCCGGCAGCTGCGTTAAAGGTGCTTCCTTCGGAGGAAAATCAGAGAATGGCGGTTGGTCGGGCACGGAGGCTGTGAGTGATGACGAAGAGGAAGATGATGAAGGCGGCGATGGATGAGATTCGCACTCCCCACCTCGTACAACTTGAGCCCACGGAGATGGCAGGTTTTTTCGCGGGAATTTAGGGCTATTGGTATCCCCAGCACTAGTCGGCGAGCGATGATCAGATGAAGAATCAGTTGCAGTGACCATTTTCAATTAGGGTTTTCTAGCTTTGTACAGAAAAAGAAACTGCAAAGGAAAATTAGAATATAAACGAAGCCATCAAATGACCAGATAAAAATTGGATACTGCCATTGAAGAATGAAGGGAAAAAGGAATAGGCAGGGATTTCTTTGTGTAGGATGACAAGCTGTGGCGACTCAGGGACGGATCTTGCTTGGGAAAAGAACCCTTTGAAGCAGTCCCCTCTGTTTGTTTTCGGACTCAGTGCAAGTTATAGCAACCCACACATACCCAAAAAAAAAAAAAATAAATAAATAAAGTTTAGAATTGGTTAGTTTTGTGAAGCGGCAGATTTTTCATTGATTTTGCTATTATTAATTTTGGGTTGGCTTAAAATTATTTGTTTTATGTTAATGTTATGTTTCTAGGTCAATTTTTTTGTTACGTCTCGGATCATTTGAATTTTTCGGAGCTAGCCTAGATGAGTAGACGGTATGTATATTTAAATAACTTTTTTAATTTTTGTTTTTGGCGAAATAGGTCAATTAGATTTGTTGCAAATTAATTGAGGCTATGTTAGGATAATTTTTTTGAAGTATTATCATTATTAGATTTTCACTTAACTTTTCTGATCACTTTATTTTTAGTCGCGAAACTTTTGGTCACCTCTTTCAAAAGATTTAAACCCTCTTGATTGAGTTTGTCAATTGGGCCTCGATAGAAGGATATCAATTATCAATCATTAAATTGTAATTACATGTGCTAAAATGAAGACATCTATTTGAGGCTCAAAACTAGTCTCAGCCCACTATGTTTACTTGGGCTTCTCGTCCAAAATTTTCTCGAATCCCAAACATAAGTTGAGGCCCAGAGTCATTATAAGCCCAGGCAACAGCTAAGTGGGAGATTAATCGCATTCCTCGTCAACTACTCCCCTATCCCCCCTCCAGACGTGTGTATCGTAACCCGTGTTTTCTTCTTGTCTCGTAATAATATAACACAAAGTGAAATTTAATTTCATCGTTTTGTTTAGTCGAAGACATTTAGTTTCATCTTCAATATAAAACTTCAATCATTTATTATATTTATCTACATGATTGTCTGTGTTAAAGTGTTTGCAACAAATGTTAGCTTTAATACATATGATTACCAATAATGTTTGGATACAGGTGTACTTAACAGCCTAATCTATCTTCAATGGTGCACTCAGCACTTTAAATAATTTAGTGGCGTCGTTTTGCCTTTGATATAATAAAAACAGTGCAATTTCATCCAAAGTTAGCTGTTCTTTTAACTCTGTTAGTGCAATTGGTATCAGTTTATAAATACGTGCCATTAATTAAAAGAAAAAAAAAAAAAAGAAATGCGCAAAAGTCAATTGCATCCAACGGAATTAAAAGGAAAGTTAACTTCGATTGAAATTGCAAAATTACACCATTAAATAGTTTAGAGTGCTCAGTACACCTCCAAAAATATATTAAGGTGTCAAATGCACATTTACCCATAAAAATTTTAAAAAATCAATATTTATTTATTACTTATAATTAACTTAACTAATTTGTTTATTGTTTACAAATTAGATGCCAAACTTTTATTAAGAAGTAAAGGAAGCATCACATTATCTTTATCCCATTAAAAAACAGCAAGTGGTTATGGGTGATTTGATAAAAAAAAAAAAAAAAGGCAGTTTATTTGAAATTAAACCTAAAAAAATTTCTTTCGATTTTCTAACTCAGCAATATGGTGGCAAGTTCACAAGAAGCAACGAGGAATCAGGCAGTCAGCGCTTCCTAATGCTTTTACCATTTTGATTGACTTGACGGGGAATCCCAATCTCAACAACCCAACGGCGTACAATTTTAGCCCCTCGTTATCCGATGCCACTCTGAAATCTCAATAGTACCTTTTGTTCTTTATATTCAACTCAACTCAAGTCTCTCTCAAGGTGGTTTTAGGGTCCCATTATGCAGTAATCAGATGCTACCACATTATTTCATCATTATGCTAGTTTCTGTTCATACTGCGCCATTGCCTACCATTGACTTGTCGTTTAGTGCTAATTTATTCATTTATTATACACTAAAAAATGTGAGGGAATCTGCCATATGCCCGCCGGGTAATTTCGCGCGAGCCACGCCAAGTCACCAACCGATAAGATTTAATATAGGTAGTTTTTGCGCGGTTCCTGTTGCAATGTGGAGGCATTCCTCTATAAAAACCTGATCAACAGCCTATCCGCCGCGCATCACCATTCCGAAGCATTGGAGCGACAGAGACAAGACAGTGGGCTCGTGCTTCAGAAACTCGTTGCAATGGCCGAGACCACGCCCAATCACACACAGACCGTTTCTGGATGGGCTGCTCACGATTCTTCTGGCGAAATCACCCCTTACACTTTCAAACGACGGTACTCTCTTCTCCTTTCCTCCCCCTCTGTGATGCTATTATTGCCGTTCCTTTTATTGAACGTACCATTCATTGCTGTCTCCGCCTAAATACGTGCAGGGAGAACGGGCCTAATGACGTTACTATACAGATCTTGTATTGTGGGATCTGCCACACTGACCTCCACTATGTTAACAATGACTGGGGCATCACCATGTATCCCGTAGTTCCCGGGTAATTCCATTAGTATTGCAATTTATGTGCGAATCTCTCGCTCACAGACAGGCAGGCATAGGAATATATAATGATATGTGTTGACAGGCACGAGATCGTGGGGTTGATAACGAAGGTGGGAAGCAACGTGAAGGGGTTCAAGGAAGGAGACAGAGCAGGGGTGGGGTGCTTGGCAGCCACCTGCTTGGACTGCGAATACTGCAACAGTGATCAGGAGAACTACTGCCAACAACTACAGTTCACATACAACGGCATCTTCTGGGACGGCAGCATCACCTACGGTGGCTACTCCAACATGATAGTGGCGGACTACAGGTTTCTCTTCCCCACTGAATCTTAGTTCTTGCGAGCAGAGTATATATCGTTCGAAGGGATCATTGATATAACAGTGGGGGTGTTTGTGTCGAGAATGTGCAGATATGTAGTGCGCATACCGGAGAACCTGAGGATGGAAGGAGCGGCGCCGCTGCTGTGTGCGGGGATAACGGTGTTCAGTCCGATGAAAGATCACGGACTGGTGGAGTGCGGGGGGAAGAGGATAGGCGTGGTGGGCCTGGGAGGGCTGGGGCACATGGCGGTGAAATTTGGGAAAGCGTTCGGGCACCACGTGACGGTGATCAGCAGGACGGCGGGCAAGGAGCGGGAGGCGAAGCAGAGACTAGGAGCTGATGAGTTTATAGTGAGCAGCGACCAAAAGCAGATGGAGGGAGGGAAGAGGACGTTGGATTTCATACTGGATACGGTGTCGGGGCAGCATTCTCTGCTGCCTCTCCTGGAACTGCTCAAGGTCAATGGCACCCTGTTCATCGTGGGTGCTCCCAACGAGCCCCTCCAGCTGCCCGCTTTTCCTTTGATCTTCGGTATTCCCTGCCTCATCTGATCATATCATGTCTCAGCTCTCTGGTTCTTTCCTGTGAAGTAATTAATGATGGGCGTGTTATGCGTACGTGCAGGGAAAAGGGCGGTGAAAGGAGGCATCATCGGAAGCATGAAGGAGACGCAGGAAATGCTGGAGCTTTGTGGGAAGCACAACATCACGTGCGACACAGAGTTGATAAGGCCCGATCAAATCAACCACGCCATGCACCGCCTCGCCCACGACCATGTCCTTCACCGTTTTGTCATTGACATTGCTTCTGCCTCTCCTGCTCCTTAATTCTTTTTCCCTCTCAATTCTTCTTCAACAATAAAACACACAAACACACACACGTCCCCCCTGTTCTTCCTGATTTGTATCCACCCCAGTACCTTTTGAATAAAATATGTAAACGACGGATGAAATATTGGCAAATTGCAAATCAAGCCACCAGCCAGTAATAGATTCCTGAGATGACGCTGTTTCTTATATTGTCTCCGTCCATGTATATTAATATTGATGGTTTTATACATTGATGTACCCGGTGTCACTGTGCTTAATTCCCATCTCTTCAACGTCTCTTCATGAGCAATATGCAAAACGGACTCATACAACTAGCCCGGCGATGCGAAGGAAAAAAAGAACATAGTTTGGGATGACTGGGTTAGAGTTTGAGAGGATTTTTTTCCAAAGCGGCAGTTGCTGGAAATTTCAAGTCATTTCAAGGTCCGCACAAGAGGCGTAGCTCAAATTATGTACGGCACATCTCCAATCATTTAGGAGGACTGCGGGACCCACTCTAATGACTCTTTATCTTTTCACCTCGTACCTGACACACAATCAACAATTCAGAGCAAAGAAAAGACCCCGAAAATCTTCTCTGATTTATAAATATGTAGGACATTGGAGTGCGAGACCCTCCTTTTCAGAAACAGAAAGCAGAGTATTATTATGCAAGTGTTCTTTTGCTTTCCTGAAAAGGAAAGAGGAGCATATATGTATTTGAGTAAGGATAATTGGTTAATTGGAACAAGTTACACAGAAGTAAATCAAAATCGAGAGAAACGATCACAATCTGTGATGATCTCAACAATTAACGGGTTAACAAACTGCCAAATGAATTTCTTCTCTTCTGCTCGACATCTTCCCAAACACCATTCAAGCATTCAATCTCATCCATCCAGAGAAACCGATTCATCGCATGACTGCACGGCTCAAGAAACCCCCTGGCTAGGAGCCTGTCACTACTTAATTCTCTCCATTCTATCCTCAACTGCTGTGCCCTATATTTTGTAAACAACTTCTCCAACAGATCCCGCTCCTCATTCTCTTCATCGTTCACCTTCTCAATACTTTTTTCTAATCAATTGTTAAGCTCCTGAAGCTGCTTATTTCTTACCCAGGTAAAAAGCAGAAAAAATTTGAGGAAGAAGAGACAAGCGTGAATGAAGAATGCCTTGAAGCCTTCAGAACAAAATCCAGATATTCTGATGAATTACGGCGTGGATACTTTGAGTCAGATGGTTAAGAGGATTTTGGGGCAGGCAGCTAGTCATAGAATTTCATGAACACGAGTGTAGCTTTCTGGATCAGCTGCAAGAGCTTGAACAACATACCTACTTGTGCTTCTTACCATAATAAATAGATCCAGGAGATTCGTTTATTGGAGAAATTATGGACAAACAATGATAAATAGGTGGATTCTCCTATGTGCACATTAATCCCTTTCGTGCTCCTCAAACGGCGTTTATTGTTCATCACAAAGGAAGGCTTTGTCAAGTGGGTCTTGATTTAGGCCTTTGCCGATTGGTTTTTCGTTGCTTCCACTTTTTCCCCCCTCGAAAAGTTAGTCGGTTATATGATATGCCAACGGTTCAAGACAAAAATAGAGACATGCCAACGGTTTGTGACGATTTCTTCATTTATTTTATTCTACAATATCTATAGTCTGGATTCACTGAAACTGAATCAACCCACAGATTTTTCTTTCGGAAATTGGAAACTAGAATAACCCCTGGCATCCGTAAGGAGGATGTGAATTTTTCTTAGTGATGAGAAATTCCCCCAAAAAAAAGGATAATTAAGTTTATGACCCAAGATAAATGGGATTTGCATTTGAATTTTAGATGCAAGAATTTTAATTATGTGAAAGGAATTTTGGAAGGAATTAATAATTATAATTTTAAGAACAGCTTATCTTGAGAGATTATATTCTTGCATTATAAACTGTTAAAGTTAAAAGGGATCTCAATGGGAAAGCCCAACGACCAAACAGAGCATTTCTAAACCAATAATTTTCATTTTAGTAAGAATTTAATTGATAATGTTAACATGCAGACAGACGCCACCCTATCTCGACACTAATTGACATCAATGGGAAAACAACTCACAACCACTGTACTGGACGAGAGGCTCAGCTTAAGCCTCGAATGTCACAGTTAAATCCTCGCAGATAGAACCCCTTGCTGTTCTAATTATTTTTTCTCTTTTGTTTTCCTTTTCAGGAAAAATATATAGAAATCGTCTAATTAACAACTTTACAGTCAAGCCTGATTTCTTGGCCGCCGGTGATGCTGCCCATTTTGATCATGGACTTGACGAAGGCGTATTCAAACTCCTTTTGGGAATGAGCAAACGTGGAAACCAATGCTTTGGTTTTGGGATGAGTGAGCAGAGCCTGGTCGGAAGTGAAGATGCTTTTTCCTTGAAGAAGCAGCTTGTAATAAGCGTTGTCAAAAGTGGTGGAGCTGGAATCCAATGGAGAACCGGCGTTTCTGACCTTGTTGTGAAAGGGACAAATGCGTCGAAGACTGGCGGCGAAGGAGGGGTCCATTGAAGGGTCAATGTCTTGTTTGGGGCTGAAGTTGTGGATTCTGTTCTGGAAAGACGAACAATGAGCGAACCCAAGGGTGTGGCCTCCTGCATGCACCATTGTCAACACACACACACAAACGGCGTTATTTACAGTTACTGCAGAATGAAGATGATGTGGGAATTCGCGCGCGCACGCACGCACCCACATACCTGAGAGGGCCACAAGATCTTCCAAGGAAAGGCCTCTCTGAGAGAAGCTTTGCTCGAGTTGGGAAATATTGAAGACTGGAGCTGGCAGTTGTCTGGTTTCATCTGCTCTTGATATTCTTCCATCTCTTCTTCCTTTCGGTACTTCCCACATGGGTCCTCCCGACTAATACCATTCCCATCACAACCAACCAACAACAAAATAAATTTGGGTGAGTGTTTCCATTAATAAATGATTTATGCAGACCAAAATGACGGGAACAGCTAATATTTGGGACCGACCAAAAAAACAGCATCCCTAGCAGCAAGTGCGACAATGTCTGCACAGGAGACCACCCCGGGGCATGCGGCTTCCAGTGCTTTCTTGGCATTGTCGATGACGTAGAATGCATGCAAAGATATGTTGGCAGGCCCATCTTTTTCTGCTTTCTTCTTTCCCTTTGATTCCAGTAGAACCGACGCATCACAGCCCTTACAAAGCAGTAACAACGAATAACAGTGAACATCATATTATTCGCTACGTAATTGGAGTTTCTGGAATCACAAGTGGCGTTTACACATGTGATCCATACATACCCTTATGAAGCAATCATGAAAATGCATGCGAAGCAGAGCAGCTGGGACTGTTTTATCGTTCATGGTTGCTTTATGTACGGCACCTGCCACTATGTACTCCGCCTGAGGACATGTGTGCTTGTAGTAGTCTACACTAAGCGCATTCCCAACTGGCCACTGACAACATTGTGAGCATCACTATTGCAATGGCTGCCATATTGCTTGCTTCACGAATGCGTCTGTGTTGTGAGACGATGCAACAGGAGAACGGTATTTATACAGCTTAGTGTAGGCCTTGGCTGGCGTCGATATGGAGTCGTTAGGAGGACATGGTTGTTAATATATTTGGTAATCGTCAGCGACCCAGTAAGTGGAGTAGTGTATTTGAAGCATATCCTGTGAAATTTGCATTTGGTACTCTCCTTTTAAAAGCCAACCCCCTTCCATTATAAGTAATATATGGTACATTTCTGAAGTGAAAGTTTTTTGTTTTGGGACCTTAGTGAAGCGAAGAGTTAGGTGCTGTTTGGCACGTGAGAAATGAAATGAAGGGAATAAAAAAATTTGAATGAGCTCAGTCTAGAAAATTAAAGAACTGAGGTATTAAAAATTTGACAAAGCAAAAAAGTAACAAAAATTAATTAAAAGTTTTTAATCTTATTTTTTTTAATTTTTTAAATCGAGTTCTTTAATATTTTTCCTTCTCTTTCCTTCCATCCATTTTCTACGTACCAAAATGGAGCCCAAAATTTGATTGGATTGTGAGAGGAAAGCAGGACCAGAAGTAAGATATAAAAACATTGATCAAGCAGAAACTACTGGCTGACCCAAAATCATGTGGTTCTTGGTATTGCAGATGGCTTCTTTATCGTGAATACATCGCGGCTTATTGTACATGTTAAATCCACTACAATTTGAGATCTGTTAGAATGATTTGATTGATAGACACAACAAAACAACTCTGATTACTGAGTCCGAAACCCAGCTATAAAATATAAATCAACGGAAAGGTTAGGTATCCGGGTTCAACCGATACAGAACTCTCGGTAATCTTAAAGTGGCTTTATCTTTCTGGTTTAATATCACCATCGTTTTTACCTTCACTTCTCGTCAGACATTACTATTTGCTAGCATCTGCATGTTAAAATTGCCATGGCATACGGGACCCTGGCTCATATGACCCAGCAACGCCTTCGGCTTAGCATATTGTCAGTCAATTTCGTGGCTTTTACTTCTAGCGTGATATGATAATTTTTTGGAAAAATTGGACAAAAGTTTCCAAATTTTATTGGTGAGAATGATCTAAAGCAAAATACCAATACTCGGTGAGCTGTAAGCATCCGGCTTTAGAATATTTTCTAGTCGGGTGAAGATGGTGAACTCCAACTACCATCTTGCTGTCATAGAATAACAGACGTCTAATACAAATAAATATAGCAGAGTTGTTCATATCAGAGAGCAGAGTTGCTCATAAATATTCAAAGCCCGAAAGTAATACCCCATTTGGCACCCCAGAGGACCTACACTTGGAGCTTAGGTCTTTGGATTACACCCCAAAAAAAAAAAAAAAAGGACCTTAGGAAGCGAAACAGAAATCTGAGAATTGCTTATTTGGTATGCAAGAATCCGCCCCTCAAAGGGCTTCCACCGAACTCCACGAAACGGTTCCATCCCTGGGAAACTGGAACCGGCTGGGCTTCCTCGAAGTCGGTGTTTGCCATTTTTGCCCCATGTCACAACTTTTCAGATATTTGTCCCTCAATATTTCTTCTCTGTGCTGCCTCTCTAGATTTGTCCATCCACCGTCGTCCCCTCCGCCACTCCCGTTTTCACCTCCATCCCAGTGACCTCCGGCGGGGTCCTTCTCCATCTCCAGAAATCAATTTTCGTGTTTCTTCTCCATGCCTCTGATCCTTACAGCAGGTTCAACTAAATTTTTATTAAAGAACAAATCAAAATGCACGAGCGCGAGTTCAATTATCATCATCAATCAATCTTGCGAAAAGCCGTGGCGAACCGCGATCTATCTTATCAAATAATAACCGGCTGATTCATTGTATTTTTTCACTGAGCAGGACGGATCTTAAGGCTCTCTAATTAGATCACAGAAGATGTTGGACATACATTTAGTATCGTCTTTGATTTCGAATGACTTCTATAAGAATGAGATATCTCATGGACCCGTAGTATTTATTCTGTGCTACGGCAGCATGACAAGCAAAGCGACGAAGTTGCGCCCGATGCTCCTCGAACTACTCCAAGTCTGAGGCGAAAATAGCGCTGATGATAAAGTAATATTGAAGGGGGAAAAGACCCACTACCTACAAACTAACATCTTAAAGGGCAAGGCCATCCATATTACACCAAGGTTCCAAGTTGGGGAAGAAATCAATGCTTACCATCCCAGTGTGTAAGAAAATTCCCCAAGCTCCAAACTACTAATACAAAGAGCATTCGGATAATGATAAATAAAGGAAAGAAATAGTGATGATATCAATATGATAAAGGGCTTAATGGAATCATGAGATCTTCCACGTACAAAATAATTCCACTTTCATGAAACAGACATGATTATACAAGTTCTTCAAAGGGAAATAAAGAGCAAAAGTAATAGAAATTCTGACTGCAACTGAGAACCAAAAAAAAAAAAAATTGCTTTCAGAAATCGTCATCGTCCTCTTCCGCTATGTGCTTGGCCAGTTCTTGCTCTTGTTGTTGCCTCTCTCTCCTTTTCTCAGCACTTTCCTTTTCCTTGTGTGTGTTAGGTGGGAAACGCAGTGCCCTAATGGCTTCATTGTGCATGTTAAGACAGAAGGCAATTCGAGAATTAAAAGCCAATTGAGGTTCGTTAGTGGAGTAAATATCTCCAGTTTCCTTGGATACCATCCACCCGTTAGCATGATCCAATGTAGCATCAATTGCCCCATCGCGGATGGCCTTGGCTACAATGCTCTCAGCATCTGCAACAGGGTTAGCAGAGTTCAACCTCAATTTTTGAGCTACATCAGCAAGTGAGATGCGAGAATAAGACACGCTGATGTTGCGCAAGCCAGTTCGGATAACATTATGTCGCAGCCGAACAATCAAATTATGAGTTCCATCAGTACTGAAAGTGGTAGCAAACTTTTCTGCAACATTCCTAAACAGCTCCAGATCACCAATGCGCACTGCCTGAAATCCCACAACAAAAACAAATACTACATGATCAAGGACAAAGGAGACAGGTCACTATGGTAATAGAAAATTTAAATTGTACTTGCAATGGGAAGGAAGTCCTCAAAATCAGTTTGCGTATAAAAAAAGTTCCGAAAGAGTAATGACAATGGATTAGAAATCTTGAAGGAAGTAGAGATGTATATGTGCTTATGAATGATTAAAGCTAGGAAGAGAGTCAATGGCCTTATAGCCCAATGGCATAAATGCTTCCTTGTAAGTGGGACGCTTTAAGTTTAATCCCACTTGCAACCTTAGGCCTTCAGTGTCTCCCTCGCTTTAAAAAAAAAAAGGCTAGAAAGAGAATAACTAGAATTGGCCAATGAACAAACCAAGCAAGCACAAAAATGAAAGAAGTCAATGAAGTAGCACACTAGCGCTAACAATAATGAGCACAGAAGGATAAGACTTAAAAGATGAATGAAGAAAGACACACTAAGTTACGACACTAGGACCACTTTTTCGTCTAATAAGTTACACTTTCCATGCTAAAAAAGCTAGATTGTAGGGACAAAGTTATACCTAGAGAGTAAAGAACCTAAGCCAAAAATAATATTATAACTAGCTTCAGTTAACCATATTAACTTACGTTTGTAAGCTCAAAGTAAGGCTTCAAGGCTTTCTCCGCTCCTCTCTGCATAAAGATAGTCCTCTCAGGTGTTTCTCCCAACAGCAGGCGCACAATTACAGCCCACTTATTACATTGAATTCGAAAGCCTCGTGCTGATGCTGGAGCCTTTCGGGCAGCCTGCAGTAGTGACTCTTTTGCATCGGTATACTCCAACTGTATGGTTCGAATCTTCCCAAGGTAGAAGAGATAACGACAGAACTGGATAAAAATACAACAGAACATGCCAAGGAAAAGGTAAGAAAAACAATTAAATTTCACCAAGGTTTAGATGCAACTTAATTGAGGGTTCAAAATGGCATGGCCATGTAGAACATTACATTTATTGACTAGAAAACTCCTTATTCGATGCCCAGAATAACAAAACCACCATACCTGCTGGTTTGAATGTGCTTCGAATCGTGGTGCCTTAGACCTTAACTTCTCTGCTTGGTCATATAGGTTGTAGTGGAGGTAATTACGAAGTAACAGATTAAGAAGTGTTTCCTGCACCCCATCATGATGTTAGTGCATGTTCCAAGCACATGTGAAAAATAATTAATTCAGATGAAACAAACCTGACCCAGCTCATCGTGGCGGAGAGTGGCAATACGGTGCAATGCAAGGAGGTTGCTGAGACCATTCAATTAGGAGTGAGTTAGATCAAATTCATCTTTTTCCTTTACAGAAAAGTATCTAACATAAAGCAAGCCATCACTTCAGAACTTCTATGCGTACATTACACAGATTAACACCTAACTCACCCCCGAATTTCAGCAAGGTCTCCCGTCAGTTCATAGCTATATGAGTAATAGAAGTATAGTCTGGAAGCAATGACATCAACAGTTCTTCTGTTCAGATTCTTCAGTCGACCAATACTCACTGAGGAACAGGTCTTGGCCTAAAATGAAGAATCCAATCACCTTTAGCATATAATCAGCTGTCAAATGCTCCACACATTGAATTTTAAGAAGACAGCACCGACCTCATTGTATCTTTTCTGATCAATAAGAAACAGTAGCACGAGCAAGTAGCAGTAGATCTCTAGCTCAGGCAGTAGGTGTTTAGATGGGACTTGAACAGCAGATGTTGCAGTATCCACTTCCATCTCATGCTCGTCCTCCTATAGATAAAGCCAGCAACAACAAATAGGATTTAAACCATGGCATCCATTAAAAAGATAGCAATAAATGGTTAAAAATTTCTTCATACAGTTCTCTTGTCAATCAACAAAACAAATCAAAGTCATTTGAAATTTCAAATTTCTGCCATGAGTAACTGACCAGAGGGCAAACATGGATACAATGACTCTCCCTATACTGAAACAGATTACAGATAACCTACTGCACGAAAACCGACTTTCAGAAAGAAATTGAACATATTATTCAATGCAACTAAATATTTCAATCAGCTATGAACCAAGTACTGCATGTGATTGGAACGGGGCATGTAAGAAGAATTAAGCAGATAATCAGCATCCATCTCGAGAGAGATATCATGGAGATGATGCCCCTTAAATTCAACCTTCAAAATGACTGAGGTCAAATATGCTGACTTGGAGCGTTTCTCAGAAATAAAAAAAGAAATGCTGCTAAACAAATGACCATGCAGATGCAGAACACCTAACTTCCGCACAATCCGTTAACGCCTTCGATATTTGAGGTTTTTAACAGAACTGCATTTATATGACCCAAATTATGTGCCAAATCCTAATATAGTTTAAGAGAGAGGCAAAAAAAAAAGGCCCAGAATCAAAACATAACACCCTGAACAGAGAGCAAAACATAGTTAACTAGGGAAAAAAAAATTTCAACAGGCACAATCGCTGAATTTATGAGTAAGCTTCAAAATACCTTGGGAACATAGGCAGACAATCTGGAGTGAGCTTCAGAACCTGGAGTAAGAACGTGGTCGAGAAAAGATGAGAGCACCGATGCCGTCAATTTCCGTCTCAAAGCAATTGTAAGGCGAATAGCACGAGCAATTCTACGAACTTCCTTTGAATAGGAGCCGGTCTCGATAAGGGATGCTATTTCCTTCAAATCTGCAAGGTCAATTACCAACAACAGCAAAATCTAACTGATTTACTTTTGAATTTTTGAAATTAAGAAATATAGACGATATGAAATCGCCGCTGGAGCAATTTTGCGACTCAATCCTTACGCTGCAAAGTGGATGGAACAGCTGAGGAAACAGAATGCGAAGGAGTAGCATGATCTTTCATTTCCACGTCTTGAGTCATTTTGGAGATATTCTACAACAATCGCCTCCTTCCACTTTTTAGCCCTAGAGTTTATCGAGCACTAAACCCTAAGCAAAGCATCGAATAAAATTCAAATTCAAGAACTAGCAAACTAGGTGAGCATTACAAATCAAATTAAGAAACCAAAGGTTTGCAAATGCAACTCACGAACGCGGATCGAGTCCGCTATTGAGACGCTCGTAGGGTTTTCAGCTACCTCAGTCCTTTCTCTGCAGAGTTGAACTTGGCCTGTCAACGCAAACGGAAAAATGATTATCTATTACCTAAAAATAGAGCTTGATGAAATTTTCTGTCATTTCCTCTTCTTCTTTTTTTCTCATACCAAACAATATTTAACCAAAAAAAATTATGCTTTGATTGTAAATTTTTAACTGTAGTAATTAAGTTGTAGGACTAAATTATTATTATTATTATTTTAGTCACAGACATAAAAGGTTCATGCCCAATACTTGATTTCTCGTCAAACCGAACAAATACCACACAATTGGCTTTTTTACCAAAATACTACAAAGAGTAAAATTATATACTAATGTGCTGTACTTTTAAAAGTATTTACTAATATACTACATTTAAAATCGTTTTTCAGGTGAATAATTTTTAAAATCATTTATCTGCTGGACGACTTCTTCATTTAACAAATGTTTACGCCAAGAACAATTTCTAAAATTGTTCTCGCTAAGAACGACTTGTATGTAATTTGAAAGTCATTCTTACCAAAAATGATTTTAAGTGCAAATAAATGCCACACAAGCTTTCATGCACATCAAGGATAGATTATGAAAAAATCATTCAGCAGATAAATGATTTTAAAAATTATTCACCTGAAGAAGGATTTTAAGTATAGCATATTAGTAGATACTTTTAAAAGTGCAGCATATTAGTATATAATTTTACTTTTTGTAGTATTTTGGTAAAAAAGCCTGTCATGTGGTATTTGTTCAGTTTGACGAAAAATCAAGTATTGGGCATGCACCTTTTACGCCTGTGACTAAAATAATAATAATAATAATTTAGTCTAGCAACTTAATTGCTACAATTAAAAATTTACAATCAGAGTATAATTTTTTTTATTACATATTGTTTGGTATGAGAAAAATAAAAAGAGGAGGAAATGACAAAAAATTTCATCAAGTTCTATTTAAAAAATTAAAAAAATTAGGATTTTCAAATTTTAATCCAATACAGACGTTATAGCCTTATGGGAGCATTGTCAAGAATTCTTATTTTTGCATGTAAAATTGGCAAAAATTTGTGTGTGAGAGAGTGAATAAGAAAAAGTAAGATCGTTCTTGGCGTGAACGATTTCAAAAATCGTTCACGCCAAAAACGACTTATGTGAACGATTTTAAATGCAGCATATTGGTAAATAATTTTAAAAATACAGTATTTTGGTATATAGTTTTACTGTTTATTGTATATTGGTAAAAAAGCCAAGGAATTTGTGATTTTAAATATAATCAACAAACTGTTATTTAGTTGAACCGTCTCATCTTCATAAGAAAACAACATGAGCCCGAATTCAAAAAACACGTTAGAGACTTTTAATTTTAATACTCTCAACTCAATTGAAATTAATTTTAAATTCATAGCAACCTAAGAATACTTTAAGTAATAGAAGAAAAAAATCAATAATGCATCAAAAAGTATATGAGAAGGCATTATTTTGTATGATTAAAGAGTCAGGTTACTCTAAAATTCAACTAACTTTTTTAATCTAATAGAATAATTAAAAGTAATTTATATTAAGAACCAGAGTCATAAGATTTAATAAGAACATAATGATTATTTATAAATTGCATGACTTGTAATATTTTTTTTATAGTAAACTAATCCAATTTGAAATTGTTGACCTCTACACTGATCAATCGTTCGAGAAAAATCGCGATTCGTCCTGATTAATTAAATTTCATTTTTAGGAATCTAAATGTTCTCCTCATTATTCATATACAGGAAAATGATTTAGTTCTGGAGCTAAAGATTATAGTTCTCGAATAAGCAATTAAAAAAAAAAAAAAGTAAATATACCTGATAAAACATGAACAACCTTTAAAGCACAAACCTCCGCTTCTCTCACTCACCCTGCCCCTGCCCGACTCTTCCTCTAAAGACGATATGTGAGATTGGCAGATTGCTTTTCAAAATCGAGTCTATCTCTTTGCTGCTATGTTAAAAAGGTTAGAGTGTTTCGATAAACACCAAATTATAATTTTAGAAGCAATTTTATAGAGTAGTATACAAAATAAATATCTAAAAGAGTTTATCTCCATTTATAGAAAAGTACTACATCCGGTCCTAATTATAAGAGCCAGTTGACTAATTTGAAGAGATTAAGGAAATAAGTCGAGTTAGTTATTTGTCCTAAATAGGTGTTGTCTTTCTTAAAATATCCTTACTAATCAAGTGTATTGACTAGAACTCTTATTATTAGAAGGGTTACTTTGAAAAAAATGTATAAATATGATAGACAAAGTGGATTGGAGTCTTATATTTAGGACTAAAATAAAAATCAAACATAGTTTTATATTGACTAGAACCGGAGGTAGTATTTTAAAAAGTACTTCAGAAAATATCGAGACACCCTTTTAATTTTTTACAGCAACGTGACATTGAATTAAATTACAACTATGAAGCGTTTTTTTATGTATGCTTAATTATTATTTTTCCAAAAATGTCCTTAAAGGGTATTAAAGAATAGAAATTAAGAAGCTGTGTTGTGTTGTTAATGACTAAAACACGTGGTTAAATAAAAGCAATCTATAATGGATTTTTTAAATTAAATTTTTTAATTTTTTGCTAGATAATTAATTTTTTTAACTGTAAATTAGATAGGATGGAGCAGTATATTTAAGATGAAAAATATTAATCTGGCAAAAAAAGATGCAAAAAATCAAAATTTAATGATTAACAAATAAATAAAATTTTTGAGAGATCAGAGACGTGACTGTGTGAGGCCCAGGGCGGACCCTACCATGAAAAGATGAAAAATATGGAAGTGTTTGCCTTGAATATAAGCAAAACAAACACACATAATACATTCCAGGGCGGACCCTACCATAAATTGGCTAGCACGGAGCAGCATCATACCATTCTTCTTCCCAGGTACCCACGCGCGCACAGCCCTTTTTAAGAGATCAGACATGTGACTATGTGAGGCCCACTGGAACCAGACTGTTAAGCTTGTCTTTCGTCATTCATGGAGCCACGTAATCACAATGACCCCGTGACGTGTCGCCACCATACACACAGTGTCTTTTTCCTTGCCCGCGTGCCCCTAAAATTTTAACATCAAAGTTTAATTTTTTCCCTCTCAGTGCGTAATATACTAATTCAGTCTTTATATAAAAATTAATTTTAATTTGATTTAGATTACAATTTAGTTTTTTTATATTTAATTGTTATCTCCGGCCTTAATTACAAGATTTTATTTGTAAGACATTAAAAAATGTCATACAAACAAGATCTTTTAATGTCTTACAAATAAGATCTTTTAATTAGATAAGAGGTAATTTTTTTTAAAAAAATAATTTTTATAATAGTTATATATGTTAAATATTTTATTTAATGATAATCTTAACCAATATATATAATTAGCAAGAATATTAAAAATATATTTATTACAAACAATTAAATTAATTAATTTTTTAATTTACTCAAATTTATTATATCAATTCCACCTGAAACTTCATATTCAATATTTGATTCGCACGAGGATAAAGCAGCATCTTTGTTTCCCGCCTTCTGGTACTGATGCGCCTTTTATCTTTTAATGACCGGCTTTCACCCGGAACTCGCTCTTTCTTCTCGTTTCCAACATGACTCTGTTCTGCTGAGAATTGGGAGTACCCGGTAAAATCCATGAGCCGGAGTTAAAAAAGAAAACAATTGAAGCTTTAAATTTGACCGTACAAATTTCTACATGTACAGTTTAAATTAGAGGTTCGTATCTTACATTGATTTTTTTTTTCCCAGATAGTGTTGTTAATTATCATTCTTTTTCTCCGATATCTAATATACATTATAGGCTTTGATCTGTATTCGATATTCGAGTCGCATGTATATTTATTTAACATGGTACGCAGCTCTTTGTTCCTTGTGCCTCTCTTCTTGTTTCCAGCAGAACTCTGTTCTACTGATCAGAGTCACTGATAGAGTCGACGAGACCCAAATCCATCCATCCAGAACTCATGGATTTTCTCATCCGATCGAACCGTCCCCTTCTGTCGGAAAATCCAAAACCCCCAGCAGCATAATTGAACAGAAAAGCCTCAAATAATGGGAAGGTCGCTTTGATTTTTGAAAAAGAAAACTCAGCGATGTTATTTTACAAAAGATAGTAAATTTTCAGTCACAAAAAATAAGTTTTACAAGCCATGAAAACCAGATTAATCACGCACGCACCCTCCCAGTGATCCATGCGAGCTCCTCCCGAGTAAGCAAGAGGCACATATATTCAATCCAAAAAGCAACGATGGCTTCTGTATCAACAAACTGGCTGTTAATTAATTCGACTGTCCCAATCAACAGGAGTTTTGTGAAGGAGTGAAGAGTTAAGGATGAAGGTTGGCTCTACAAAGAGGGCAGAGACGATGGTGGGAGAGCCAGGTATCGGCGCATTCCAAATGGAAAGCGTGATTGCAGGCGGGAATGAGGCGAACGGGGTGGTCCTTGTCGATGTCGCCGAGGCAGATGGCGCACTCAGTGGGAGTGAGCAGGTCTTGGCCGGTGATTGTGGGCAATTGATGAAGGTCGGAAGCAGAGAGGCCGTCCGGGGAAAGGGACTTGAGGGGAAGCGGGCGATCGGGGTGGCCGGAAATGGCGCACCGGAGAAGGCAAAAGTAGACGAGAAAAGAGCGGCCATGCCGAGGCAGGGCAGGAAGAGAGCAAGGAGAAGGGAGCTGAGCATTGTTTGTTTGTTTTTTTTTTGGGGCGGGGGGGGGGAAGGGTTTGATGTGGACAGGGCAGGGCAGGTAAGACTGGCGAGTGTAGTCTGTGCAGAGGATGACGTGGATCGGTTGTGGACTGGGATAACGTCAAGCAGGAGAGTGGCGGGGATGGGGCCTGGTTATGACATTAATTGCCAGCTCATGTTCCTGCTTGGTACTATTTATTCAGTTCTCTACAAAGTTGGACTCCTTCAGCGTCCGCAGATCGCCTTGCCGTGACTGGGACAGGCGGTGCCGTGGATTATTGGCCGTTGCTTTGGATTTCCGAATCCTCTCCGTTTCCCTCCGCTCGTCAATAGATCCGCATCCGATAAATGTTCCCTTAGGTTTAATTTCATGAATCATTTTTCTCCCCATTGAATGACATATACAATAAACTAAGTATTTTCACAATTAAATTTTACGAGATGTCACTTAATTAAATAATCGCATTGCATATGACTTAAAAAAATCAATAGAATATTAAATATTTTCGAAGAAAAAGAGTTTTAATTCATTTAGTTAGAACGTTTATGTTGATCTAATTAAAAATAGAATTCATTCCTGTTCTTTTACTGAGCGTGTATTTTCTTTATATAGTGATTATATTAAAGATTAAATTGATCATGTAAGCTTCTGCACGTCGTTACCGTCGATATGCAGCTCCAATCCATTCACATCTTGTCAAGATTAGTGAATGTCATGCAAAGATGGCAAACCATGCGTATATGGACGCCATACGTATTGCCACCAGAATATAATTATTTAATATATATCAGTCCTTACATCAAAATTTAAATATTGACTTTATATTTAATAATACTAAGCCACTTCCAACATATTTCATATAGATAAAAAAAAAAATTTAAACTTCATTGATCTTTCTTTAAAATTCAACAACATTCAAAAGTTATTCTTATTTGATGTATATTATACATCTTGTAAACAAAACCAACATAATAATAAATTAATGAAAAAATTATATATCCATATAAAAAATTTCTCTTACTGTCCTATTAGAAAAACAGTCTTCTCTCTATTTTATAAATAGTATTATGAGTAATTCATAATATCAAGACAATCATATATGTTGAATAGAGCATTTTTTAATGGATCGTTCACTTAAAATTTTCAATTTTACTCTCTCGTTTTAATTTAATAATTTATCTCTGAATGACGTGATACTCATAACTTCAAAATATCCATTGAGAAATAGTATGGTGACCATTCACGGCACTCCCTTCAGGCTCCAATTACCTGATCTACGCGAGTAAATAAGATGAGTCAAAACTAGTTATCTTCTTACGAAGTCTCAAAATTACCCCCAATAAGAAGTTGTCGTGTATGGGAGATTGATTAATCAGTTGGGAAATTTCATAATTATTTATGTTTTTATTAAACATGCTGGGAGTTTTTAATAAGGAGCAGACATCGTGCACATTTTGATACCAGAGGAAAGAGAAAGTAGTACTACCTTTTGTGATAAATATAAAAGTTAATTAACTAAATTAAATATGTTAAGAAAATGAGTTAAGTTAGTTAGTTATAATAAATAAGTATTGTCTTTCTTAAAATATTCTTACTAATTAATTAAATATATTAGTTCAAATTATAATTATTAGAAAGACTATCTTAAAGAAAAGATAATTATAAGAGATAAAATATATTAAGTTCTTATATTAATAACCGAAACTAGTACTCCCTCCATTCCTTATTATAAGAGACATTTGATGCTTATGGCATGTTCCTATATATAAGAGACACTTAAAAGTTGTCTCTATTTTTTTGTGTTGATTTCCTATTTTACCCATATTTATTTTGTCTCCAATTCACACTCTCTCTCCCTCCCACTTTTTTTTCTTTTAATAATTTAATTGTTCTCTCTCATTATTAATGAGGGCATTTTTGGGAAAAAAATTATACTTTTTACATATGATTGTTCTTAACTAATTTTAACTATTTTTTTTATCAATGTAATTCGGTTATTTGTCTCTTATAATAAGAAATGGAGGGAGTATTAAACATGGCAATGATATAATTAAATTCATATTTTTAAACGATTTTTTAACCTACGGACACTCGCTTCGCTCCAATAAACTATCTTAACTTCCCAACCATTCTTTATATGCGGAATGCTTTTATTGGCTAAAGTACAGCTGTAGGAAAAGATTATTGGAAACAGTGAGACAATCACGAACGGGAATACTCCAGATATATGAAATAGTACTCGAAACTGATATTAATCTTATACGTAAGATTTATTTTATATAGTTATTAATTTTTTTAAATTAATTCTATTACTATTGTTTTAATAATAATTAAGCAGTTAAAAGAGAAATAGAATTAAAAAATATTTAGGATATTTTAAAAAATATATCATATTAATTAATTTAAATAATGTTTTTAATCTAATTAAATTAATTAATTAGATGTTATACACGAGGATAATCATGTTTCATATTTTCAATGCGCATGTATTCTCTCTTCTTATTCATGGAGTATTGCTTTCCTGACACTTGGACCATAGTTAACATGCAATAATTTCTCTACCAAAAAGGCAGAGCAGTCGCGCACCACGTTTGCGTGAAACTGTGAATTGCCCCAAAAATAATAATTGGGGTTGGGGAACTAAAGGATGTGGCACGGAAATAAAATAATAAAAGCAAGGAAGGAAGAAGAGGACAGGTGTCGAGGAAGCGGTATTTGCGTAGGTGACATCAAGTGTCAAAGCGTTCGAGAGCAGCACGGACCTTAATCGGGTGGGACTCTGGTGGAGCAAAGGCCAGCGAGAGTTGGCCTGGGGCCATACAGGCGGCCCCATCGCTCTCCTTATTCTTACCCGGCACTATGCGACCCCTGAGGGAAGACGGTATCGTGGCAACAAGATAGGAGCGCGGCAGCATCATGTTCCATGTGGATGAGGAGCAGGTAATTAAATTTAAAGTGAGGTATGATTTGCGGAATGAATGAATGCATAATAATATGTGGTTGCGAGGACAGGATGGTGCGAGGGAAGGAGACGAAGGGTAAAGCCACGCCACGGCCCTCTGCCCTCTTCATGACCCCCACGGAGATGAAGGACGCATCATCTCAACCTTCTCTGCTCACTAATGGTTCTTCCGCTCAATTCTCTTCCCTCCTTGCTTCCAACCATCGTGATTTTCTGCTCGCTCCCTCTCGCGCTCAGGTGCGCTCTCTCTCTCCATCTGCCTGTTAAAATATGGAATCTTTTAATTTATATTCCTGTCTCTATCATTTGGTTCAGCTTCTTCTGTACAAGGGGGTGTCTGGGCTCTATCCCTGATTCAGATTGTATGAGTCAACATGGATGCAGCACACACACACACACACACACAGAGGCTTTCTCTTTTCCCAAAACTTTCTCCCGCCAATGGCCCTCCCAGCCTTTTTCTATTTTGCTGACAAACCACACGACTTTCGCTGGGAATTTAACCAAAGCCTTTACCTTTCTTAGTATTTTGTCCTGTGGTGGATGGTTATTGCGTTGCCCCGTATTTGATATCGAGTTATGCTGTGTGATCACTTACATCTAGCGTTAATCTTATTATATACATGGATCTGCAATTTCTGTGCTGGAGAAACTCTAGTTATTCGCACTTTAGCGTTGATCATAATCGAGAAAACCGGAACTTCATCATATATTTTCTATGAAAATGGTTCGTCCGCCGCCTTCTCTTCTTTAACGACACGCAACCCGAGTCTGGAATTACAGGTAGCTCTAGGAGAAGAGGCAAGGTCTCTTATTGCTCCTTGCCGGCCACTCGAGATTTCTAGGGTTTGAAACAATATATGATGGGCTTGATATCTTCCAGCGAATTTAGGTGCTCAACTCAAAAGGCTGACGATATTGGTCTACCCATAAGCTTCATAATCATACGGATTATATCCATATTTTATGTATTATATTTATGTGCAAAATCTTTTTCTTACTGATCGAGATGGGGGCTGCTACCCGGGCGACCATCCAGAACCACATCTATTTCTTCCTACAATCACTCAAAGGAGTTTACATATGATCAGAGTGAATCACGGGGATATCCTATATAAATAATTAAAGCTCGCACATAGTCTTTTAGGGTGTTCATAGCATTATATTTTCCTCTTCTGATAGAGAGGGCGATCAAGTATTTAAGAGATGCAGATACATAGGTAGGGGTGTGATATACAGTGGTGTTAGCTTGATTTGATGATTTCGGAGTGGTTTAACCACTCACGAGCTTCACATGCCCAATCAATATTTGTAGCTTCTTCTTCCTCCCCCCCCCCCCCAAAAAAACATTTGTTCGCGATATAAATTATTTTCGTTTAACTTGATTTCGAAATTTTGTTTCATAGCATCCAAAACATTTAATTTTTGTTTTCCTATTTTGTCTTCTGCATAATTTTATAAATACTAAATATATTATAATTAATGTAATGGATACTTTTTGCCAAGCAGATATATATTTAAAAAGTTTTACAAATTTTTTACATGTTTAATATTATAACTAGTTTTTAACTAATATTTTGGGGTGAAAGGTGGTTAAAGTAAACTTATATATTATAAAACGTGGAATATATACTTATAATATGTAGACAGCTGAGCATATCTCTAGCCAAGGGACAAGTGTCCCTAAAATCATTCCTTTAGCGTTACACGTGTTCCACTTCGGGACCCCATCCCTTTCATGATTTTGGTTCCTTCTTAGAACTCGTACTTTTATAGCCTTTCGCACTACTCCTTTGTCGGTGTGATTAATTTGAGCCTCGAGTACTATTTCCATTTGGTTTATATATTCCATGACAATGCTCATTAATTTGTTACATTTCTAACTGTAATAAAATCCACAAAATTGTACCCAGTTTGGGTGGTCCTACCTCAATTCCCCCCTTCCCTCTACTCACACGAAACTACCTAGCTAACATAAAAGTATCGATGCTCTTATGAGTGCGTGCGTGCTTCCGCTTTTAACATACCAAAGTGGAGAACGTACATCTCGTAACACGCATCTTATTGATGAATCAGCTAATTGAGGTATATGGAATATAGTATATATACACATATGTATAGTACACGCACAAGAATTGTACGTCGTGATTGCTGATTAGTTGGAAATTGCGTGCGCAGGTGAAAGTTTCTGATGTTGAAGGAAAAATACTGGGGCTCTTATTCGCCGCTAACTGGTATCCGCCGTGCCGGAGATTCACCCAAATGCTGGTCGGCGTTTACGAGGAGCTGAAGAAGAATGCGTCAGAGTTTGAGATTATCTACGTGTCCTCTGACGAAGACACGGACGCCTTTGATATCTTTTACGGCCAAATGCCATGGCTGGCAATTCCGTTTTCTGATTTGGAAACAAAGAAAGCGCTGAATAGGAAGTACGACGTCGAAGGCGTTCCTTGTTTAGTGATATTGCAACCCCACGACGCTAAAGAGGAAGCAACTTTGCGTGATGGAGTTAATGTCATTTATCGATTTGGAGCGCAGGCCTATCCGTTTACTAAGGAAAGGCTAGAGCAGCTTCATCAGGAAGAGAGGGACAAGCACGAAAACCAGACTTTGACTAATTTACTGACCGGCCCCGGTAGGGACTGTGTTTTGGGCCACCCAGGATCCCGGCAGGTATACATATCTTGCCCATATCATATCGCGGATATTTATCTGTGTGTGTGTGTGTATACATGCGCGCGCGTTATTTGCGTGTTATTGTTTAATTTCGCCACAAATATTATTTTATTGATCAAGGAACAGTAAAGTTTCAACCCTTACTATTTTTGAAATTATAAGTTGAATTAGTATTAAGAAATACTTGTCATGATGTTGGACTGATTTACAGATGTGTGTGTGTGTGTGTGGAAATGATGACTCGGGATTGAATACGCACGGGTGTGTGTAAAGCGTGCCTGCATGTTATCTACGTAATTTCACCTTAAACAAACAAAAGAAATAGTACATGCATGAAAATAAAAATAAGTAGCATAATTGGGTAGTACTGGTGGTAAGGTTTAGATGGCAAGCACAATTGGCATGGTGCTTAATTGGGAGGCTGATGGGTGTGAGGTAGCGTACGTGGACATGCAGGTACCGGTTGCATCGTTGGTGGGTAAAACAATAGGGCTGTACTTCTCAGCGCAGTGGTGCGTGCCGGAGCAGAAGTTCACTCCCAAGCTCATAGGGATATACGAAAAGATAAAGCAGGTGTTGTCGGAGAAAGGAGAGGAGGACTTTGAGATCGTGCTGATATCCAACGACAGAGACGAGGCGTCTTTCCAGTCGTATTTCGGAAGCATGCCGTGGTTGGCGCTGCCATACGGGGATGCGGAGATGAAGAAGCTGGCGAGGCACTTCGATGTGCAGGGAATACCATGCCTGGTGATAATAGGTCCTGATGGCAAGACCATAACCAGGCACGGCAGGAGCCTCATCAACTTGTACCACGAGAATGCATACCCCTTCACCCGTGCCCGGGTGGAGTCGCTGGAGAAACAGATGGAGGAAGAGGCCAGGGGGCTTCCCACGTTGGTCGCTCACGAGGGCCATCGCCACCATCTCAATCTCGTATCCGACGGCAACGGCGGAGGCCCCTTCATTTGCTGTGTCTGCGATGAACAGGGCTCCAGCTGGGCCTACCAGTGCCTCCAATGTGGCTACGAAGTGCATCCAAAGTGCGTCACGCCTGTGGATCGCTAGCCTCCTCCTCAGCCCATTCACCTCAGTTTAACGTCTCTCCTCTAGTGTTTGCTTGAACGGAGTGCCATCCTTTAGTTTTCTAGCCTCGTCTGAATGTACGTACTTTCCCACATAGATGAATTTAGGGGGATCAAACTTGTAAGGCTACGCATGTGCTATTCACTAATTAATTAGCGAGAGTTTCTGTTCAGTGCATGCGCGTCATGTAAACTTCTCGATCAGTCTGAGCTATCTACTTTTGCTATTAATTAATGAGTCTGTGATTGAATGAAGAAGTTATAAAATGATTTTTAAATCTAGAACGTGTATGATTTCTTTTATGCATTGTGCTGTTTCAAAAGATAAAATATATTATTCACGGTTATACAGTTCATGTCTGGCTATAAGAATTTGAATAGTCATACGAAGATACAGAAAAATACGAATGTAAGATATATATGTGTATATATATCATTTTTTTATGTCGTTCTTTCACTAAATATATAACCATGTTATTACCAAAAGAAAAAAAAATTAATTAAGAAAAGCATATTTAATAAGTAAATTTTAAAATCAAGGCGGGTTAAAGTGATATATCAACTATGGAATAAAGTAAGTCCCTCAGAGGCGAGGCCCACGTGTCATGAGTGGGGCATTTTCTGCTAATTTTTTCAACTCGACTGAGGTCAATCCAAAGCTCCAATTAGAGTAATATGGCATGATAGCTAACTAATGCATTTAATTAGCTGAGAATTACGTGTATAAGAAATGGCGAAGATGCAAAGCGTGCAGACGATTTTGAATCAGATGCATGTCTTGCTGCTCATGCCACACATACCAATCCCCAGCGAGGACTCATGGAATCGAATCTCTTCTTCAGCGCAAAGCCACCAAGTTGTTCTCCCTCCCCTCTCATCAAAGCCAACGAGAAATGCACCATATTTGCCTAAATATGAATGTGTGTGTGTTTGTATATATAAGCTCCATTAATGAAAGTCATGAGCAAGCTATATTAAGGTGAACAAATTACGAGAGGTCGACGGAGAGCCATGGGACTTGGTTTCTTCAAGGCGCTTTGTTGTAACAAATCTCAGCATGAAATTCCCATTGACTCCTCTCCCGGCCGCCCTCGCAAGCAGACGTACGAGGATCATCTGCACGACGTCAAACCAGCACCTACTTCGCAAGCGCAGGTGGGGCCGGTGCTGGGAAGGCCCTACGTAGACGTAAGGATGATGTACGAGCTGGAGAAGGAACTGGGGAGAGGGCAGTCCGGGGTGACTTATCTGTGCACAGAGAAGAGGACGGGGAGAAAGTATGCGTGCAAAAGCATAGCGAGGAGGAAGCTGACGAGGAAGGAGGAGATAGAGGACGTGCGGAGAGAGATACTGATACTGCAGCATCTTTCGGGGCAGCCAAACATAGTGGAATTCAGGGGCGCATACGAGGACAGGCAGAACGTGTACTTGGTCATGGAACTGTGCACCGGCGGGGAGCTGTTTGATCGCATCATCGCCAAAGGGAATTATTCCGAGAAGGAAGCGGCGGCGCTGATCCGGCAGATCGTGACGGTGGTTCACGTGTGCCATTTCATGGGAGTGATGCATCGGGACTTGAAGCCCGAGAAGTTCTTGATGACCAGCCAGGACGATCACGCCCCAATGAAGGCCGCCGGTTTTGGACGCTCCGTCTTCATCGAGCCCGGTTTGTGCTCCCCCTTCTTCTCATTTTTCACTTCCGTAGTATGGATGAGCCCAGGCCCAAATTACGTCAAATTGAGTTTGAGTACATACTTAGTGCCTGTTTGGAGTCACATTTAAGTAGCTTTTACGTAGCTTTTAACTTTTAATATGTTTGAGTGTATTTGAAAGAGTTTAAAAAAATTAAGAGCTTATGTCAAAATCATACACTTAAGCCAAAAACTAAAAATTGCAGCTTATAGAGTTGGAAAAGTGAAGAGAGAAAGACAAAGCGTGAGTCCCATTTCTTTTACTCAAATAAACTTACTTTTACTTAATTATAATCCAAACAACTTTTTACCAATCTCATTTTTATAAATTAGCTTTTTTAAACCCCAATCCAAATACAATTTATTTCATCCAATTTAACTTTTACTCGATCTTACTTTTCTAAAAGTCATATTAAAAATAAGCTGCTTTTCCACCCAATCCAAACGGACCCTTAATTATTTTTTTTGAATGGTAAAGTATATTAAAAAGAAGAATATGTACAAGCAGCCATAAAGGCAAAAGAAAGAGAATCAATCTGTTGTTTCTGAAGTCCAAACGGACCCTTAATTGGCATAGTCTTCGGGGCGGGTAGAAATGGGATAGAATATTCTTCGGTGGGGCCCGGCCGAAGGGCATTGGGTTGTGTAACCGTCAAGGAGGGTAGAATAAAACAAGAGAAGTAGACCACGTTTAGGGGAGCGAAACGCATGGTGGAGTAACGAAAGCATCAAAGCAAAGCAAAGCGTAGTGCTAACAAAAAGGGGATGATGCTGAGGAGAAGCGTGGCGGGGGACAAAGCAGGGCATCCCTTGAAAGGAGCAGAGGATCACAGCACTTTCATCCCCAGCATGTAAATCTATTGGCCCGGCCTTTACCGAGATGCTCCTCCATTCCCAACTTCTTCATCACCCCCGATCTCTTTAAAAAATGGGGTTATGCTTCAGCAAATCCTCCCCTGATTCGCCAGCCCATTGTCACTACCAACAGCTTCCAAAGAGAAACCAACATGCTCCTCATCCCGCCACGCCCTCCGCCTCCCCCTCTTCCTCTTCCTCTTCCTCCCACCCTCAACTCGGTCCCATTCTGGGCAAACCGTATTTTGACATCAAAACACACTACACTCTGGACAAAGAGTTAGGAAGGGGCCAATTCGGCACCACTTATCTCTGCACCGAAAAGCTCACCGGACTCAAGTACGCTTGTAAGTCCATATCAAGGAGAAAGATGAGCAGCCGGAAGGGAATCGACGATGTGAAGAAGGAAATTATGATCCTGCAGCACCTGACGGGGCAGCCCAACATAGTGGAATTCAAGGGAGCTTACGAGGACTGGCATCACGTGCATTTGGTTATGGAGTTGTGTTCCGGCGGGGAGCTTTTTGATCGCATTATTGCCAGAGGGGTTTACTGCGAGGACGAAGCTGCCGTCATATTCAGGCAAGTCGTCAACGTGGTTCACGTTTGTCATTTCATGGGGGTGATGCATAGGGACCTTAAGCCCGAAAATTTCTTGTTGGCCACAAGGCACCCCAATTCTCCCTTGAAAGCCATGAATTTTGGCCTCTCTGTCTTCATTGAGCCAGGTTTGTTCCTCCATGCGTTTTCCCAATTTCTGCCATTTCTCTTCTTCCCTCTCTTTTCCATTTTCGCCCCCCAAAAAAAAAATTTTCGATTCCATATTCCTTTTGATTCCTTTTCCATTCTATAAAAGTTTTTTTTTTAAAAAAAAATTCCAACTACTTTTCTACTTCCTTGAAGTGTGATTTACGCAAAGTGTCAAGCAATAACAACATTGACTGAGGCAGCCTTTATACTGTCCGCTGATGAACAATATTTCCGGAGAAGGGGAATTGTTTTTTCTTCCCAACTTAAAAAAGGGCGGGGCTGTTTGGAGGATTTTCTGGATATATTTTTTGTTTCCGTGATCCATCTCCATCTTCCTTCCGCATGCATGGAGCATAACAATCTCTTGAGTCTTGAATTTATATAATATGATCAAAATAATATTAAGAATAATGTTAATTTTTCTTTATAAAAAAGACGTGTTCTTTTGAAAAATTATATTTTTTTTAATCTTCTATTTTGATAGTGGATTTATAAAATTAGTTATTTTCATAAGCGGAGAGTGAATATGTACATAGTAGATAGTTATGCTATACTCTATTTATATGAATAATGATACAATAATTATAAGACTGCTGCTCTTATATTTTTAAACAAAGTCTGTGTATAAAGTGCATGTCTTTAGAACATAAAGAGAAGATAATACGAGTTAGGCATAATAGAGTGGAATTTAACCGAGTAAATTTCAAGGACCGGGCGACAGGATGAGTGATTGACCAAGTCGTCGATTAAAAAGTGAAACGAGAAGTCAACCGAGTAAACGATCTTCTGTACGAAAGTCGGACAGTGACAAGTAAACGAAGTAAACTGGTTCACATTTAGTGGGGAAAGTAGAGGGCAGATCTGAAGCCCGCAGATTAGTCGGACCATCATGCTCACTGGTTATTTTCTGGGGCCATACCCACAATATGACTATTGGGAAATATGCAACACGATCAATAACCTTGGGAAACAAGCAAGGTTAGCATGTTATCTAGGACGTTCTGGGATGAGCGATTTCTGCACTATGATGGTGCCACCAGCAGCAAAATGCCTCAGAAAAGCGTTCAATAGAGAAAGCATCATTATCGCTATCAATTTCAATTCGTTTCTTTCCCAACAAGTTTTTATCAATACATTCTTATGAAGTGTAGTAACAATAATAATAAGATTTGATGCAGGTAAAGAGTATAAGGAAGTCGTGGGAAGTGCGTACTATATGGCCCCGGAGGTTCTAAGACGGAATTATGGAAAAGAGATAGATGTGTGGAGTGCAGGAGTCATTTTATACATCCTCCTTAGTGGGGTGCCTCCGTTTTGGGCTGGTAAGGATATAATGCCTGCCTCTGTTCTTGTTCAACTGTACTCTGCAATTATGCGATATCTCTTCCACTCTCTTGCTCCCTTCACATTTGTTGTGTCCATATTTATATCTTCGTTTTATTGACATAATGGGTCAAAATTTTCCAGGGAACGAGAAAGGCATATTTGATGCTGTTCTGGAAGGCAAACTGGATCTTGAAAGCCAACCATGGCCTTCTATTTCAGCTGCTGCCAAGGATTTGATCAGAAAAATGTTGGCATATGATCCCAAGAAACGCATCACAGCCACTGATGCCCTTGGTGAGTATGTAGTTGAGTTTAAACGCATAATTCTTTCGTTACTATGTAGATTCCAACAAATAACTTGTCATGTTTAGTCTGTAAACCAGTTTTTTATTACAGAAAAATTATAAATATTGTTATGCATTTGAAACAGAACATCCATGGATGAAGGTGGGTGGTCAATCATCTGACAAGCCTATAGACAGTGCCGTTTTAATTAGGATGAAACAGTTCAGAGCAATGAACAAAATGAAGAAACTTGCCCTGAAGGTAACTTCCAGGCTCCAGCCTTTTGTTTGTCTGTGAATTATAGGGAGTTTCTTTCTGGATTTGAAGTTATGGTCTAATTCCTGTTAGTGTTTAAGAAAAAGGCCTGAATTTCAATGCTACCGGAAAGAATGCATGTCCATGTTCCACAGAATTTCTGTTTGATTCGTGGAACATTTGGACATCGTGTCATGCAAAGTCATTTTATTTTACTTGGTACTTGCCTCTTTTACCCTTAGTAACCGAAGGTTGGATTTTTGGAAGGTAATAGCACAAAACCTATCAGAGGAAGACATCAAGGGCTTGAAACAAATGTTCCACAATATGGATACAGATAACAGTGGCACGATCACACTTGAAGAACTCAGAGCTGGATTGTCCAAATTGGGATCCAAACTTAACGAATCTGAAATACGGCAGTTGATGGATGCTGTAAGTTCAATACCAGTGGATTTTTTTTTGGGGGGGGGTTGTGAACCAAGTTATTTAATTGATGAGAATTTTGAGCCTCTTCGAATGCCGTAAGAACAGAAAAATTGAATGATGAATATTGTTGGTGGTTGTTTTGTCTTCAGGCTGATGTTGACAAGAATGGAACTATTGATTATTATGAATTCATAACTGCCACCATGCATCGGCACAGACTTGAGAAGGAAGAGAACTTGTTCAAGGCTTTCCAATACTTCGACAAGGATAACAGTGGGTTAGTATACATGGGAATGCATATAATGAAATTGATCACCCGAAACTGTTTATTCTAGGAAATTATAGTGCAAGACAGTAACTTGAATCAGAATCATAAATAAACAAGTTATTATGTTAGTCTGCTGCTGAGTGAAGTTGTTTCTTACTTGGGTGGATATTGATCAGACATATCACGAGAGAGGAGCTTAGGCAGGCATTGACTGAATACGGAATGGGGGATGAAGCCACGATAGATGAAGTGATCGACGATGTGGACACTGATAAAGTAAGTTGAATGGTGTTGGTTTGTGAATTATATTATATGTTGCAAGATTTGATTGATGACGAGTCCCCATTTCTGGGTGCAGGATGGCAGGATCAGTTACGAGGAGTTTGTGGCTATGATGAAGAACGCGGGATGAGACGAGTGTGTGAGAATGAAATAATGTATCCAACGTGATAATAAGCCAAAGGCATTATGGATTTTGATTGCTATGTGCTGCCATTTCCACTCTCAATTGCTTCTATCCCTATTCTCTCGTGCTTTGAATAAACTTAACGGCGTCACTGCTTTCTTGTATGCTTAGCAATTTGTTACGCTGCCAATTTATATTTATCTCACTGTTTAATATCCACCCCCTGCATTAATGGGACACATTCACTTAACATTAGTTACTGGTAAATAAGCCTGACTTCCCTCTAGTCAGAGCAAATGTTGAGGGCCATCGACAAAATTTTAGAGGAAGCAAATAATAAAAACTTGGGTGAGATTTTTTCAGATCCTGATGTTTTGAAATTAGAAATTTGTAAATTTCTTTTAAGCCTGGGGAAAGATTTAAAAAAGGGGTGAATAAATCTCATTTCCTGTCATAATCTCTCAAATTGAAGTGTTTTGATTTAATTCAAAAAATAAAATTAAATCTTATTAGTGTTTAAATATAGTAATAAAACTAATACAAATAATGTATAATGCAATTGCAGAATTTTAATTGCAATTATGTCTATAAAGAAAAGGGATTAGGGAATTATCACCTTACTCTGATGTCACCTGTGAACTTTCTAGCATCCGTTTCGTTGGAAGAAATCTAACGCGTTTTTGCCTTTGTTTTTTGACCATATTGATGTTGCCTCAAACTCAGCGAAAGGTTGCCTTTATTGTATAACGTAATTAATAATGACAGCATTTTAATTGTACTTTCCTCTATAGTGGTTATGATCTCCCTGATCCCTTGCATCCGTTGATCGTATTACTGACTGCTTTGAGTTAAATCATCATAAGACGATTTAGGGTTTAGGCTCAATAAACCATCAACAGATTGATTGATTAGCATTTAGGCCAGCTATCTATAGCGTCTTCTTCAGCGCTGCCTGCTAATTAAGGGAACATCTTTCTTTTTTTTTTTTTTTAAGGGGAAGGAATATCTATTTTTACAGGAAGAGGTCTTTACTACTTGCCTTCCAAAAGATTTAAAGCGAGTTGGGAAAATATGAGGCCGTTTGACGGGGAAAAACTGCATGAGTTTTACAATTGACAATTGTATAATTAATGAGGCCTGTAATAAAACAGCGGATATGGCCTCGCGCTGAAATTACAAATTTAATTTATATAAATTGTAGAAAAATAATATAAAAAAGCTAAAAATTTGTAAATACCAAGTGAGAAATGTCAACAAAAATTTATTATTATTTGTAAATTTTATATTGTCAACACCAAATAAATTGGTAACAAATCTGATTTAAGATTTAGTAATTTTTAGCTTTCTTTTTTGTCATTCTCTTTGAGTTGTAAGGTAAACAATTTTTATTGTTTTAAATTTCAATTTTTACAGAATAATAAATTCTGAATAAAATATTTTATTGCTTATATTTTCAATATGCATAAAATAATAAATTGAAGCAAAAATTAAATTATTGTTTATTTTTTAGCATGCATAAAGCAACAAATTATAAAATACTCCTCTGGTCCTTAATATAAGACCCATTTAACTAATTTAATTAGATTAAAAAAGTTACGTAAGTTAATTAATTGTAAGAAATATGACACATTTTTTCTAAAACATCATAATCATCTTTCTTAATACACCCCTCCCTCTTTTACTTGATTATGGTTAATGGAGTATCTATAGAGGTAATTTAGAAAAAATTAATAAATATGAGAAATGGATCTTATATTTAGGATCAAAACTAACTTAACAATTGGGTCTTATATTAAAGACCGGAGGAGTATTAATAAGTTCTTAAAATCACTCCTACCCCACAGAAAAAAAAAATTGACCGATTGTTTTGTTTGACCGTTTGAGTGTAATAAAAGGGACTTGGATTCTCTCCGCTACCTTCCCATCCTCTTCCCCTCCACTATTCTTCTTTTCTCTTCACAACCATTGGATCAAAATTCCAATGGTCCAGATTTAACATCTTATAAAAATAATGTTATTAAAAAAAATTTAAACTGTTAAAATCTAGTTTGAACAGTTTACAATTGTATTAAAAAAAATTTACTCTATAATAACAGTCTGTAATTATGAACTGTTCAAATTAGATTTTAACAGTTTAAATTTATTTATCTATTTTTATCATAATATTTATTTTTATAAAATGTTATAAAATATTAAATCTAGACCATTGGAGTTTTGATCTAATGGTTGTGAAGAGAAAAAGATGGTAGTGGAGGGGAAGAGGATGAGAAGGGTAATGGAAAGAATCCAATTCTATAATAAAAGAAGGGGATCAGAAATTTTAACAAGTACTATTTGAAAGAGAAAAAAAAGCGATGAGATTGAAGTTTTTAATTAATTTTCCTTTCTCTATCCTCTAATATCATTCCGGTTTTTTTAAAATTACACTTGTGACAATCTTCTTTCTTCCTTTCCCTATTCCTACAAACTCATAAGATATTTATATTTTAGGTACGCACAAAAATTTAAAAATAAAAAAACTGTTGACCGGTTAGTTTTGGATTTTATAATTCATTTAGCATGCTTGTTCGCATTTAAGTATAATTACTCCTCCGGTCTTAAATATAAGACTCATTTTGTAATGTAAATTGTACATTATAAAATGAATCTTATATTTAAAACCGAAAGAGTATATCTTATGTTCAAAGATAAAAATAACGTGCGATAGAAAGGAAAATGACAACAATGTATTACTTTTCAGCTTGTTCAACAATCAAATACACCTGGCAAACCTGGTGCTGAAAAAAGCAACGCTAAGATCATGCTCGCCACACAAATCACCAAGCATTATTGTTCTGTACAGGGGAAAAAGAATACGGAGGCACCTCAGAAGACAAAAATGTCACTAGGCAGTCTAGCTAGGAATATACGTGAATCCTGCAATAAGAAATTACCAAGTGAGAAAAAGAAAAGGGGAACTGCCACGGAAGACCTATAATGTCTCAATACTAGATATAAAAAGTGTGACGAGCTTTTCAAAACCCCCCCACCCCCCAAAAGTGTGACGAGCTTCTTTGTTCATTAACTATGTATAATGCCGTCTAATCCATTTTGCACCACTTGCAAACGCATGAAACCTAATTTAATCATATCAATACTCCCTTCGGTCCTTATTAAAGAACTGTTGCATGCATATTTTGTCGTAAGTATTTTTTTCATCTAATATTCCTAACTATGAAACTTCTTTATAACCCCTTAAAAGCATTTATTAAAAAAAAAAACCACTTTCATATAAATCGAGACAAAACTCCTTTCATATACATACCTTAAACACCATAAAATCACTTCTAAAAAAAACTAATCCAAAACCCCCCCTTAAGCAACTAAATTCCTTTAACTAAAGATATTTATTAAGGATGCTTTTAACATTTTACCAGAAATAACTAATTGTAAGATGTAGGATTTCTCTAACTATAAAAAGGACCAGAGGGAGTATATTATTAACTGTACAATGTCCAAACTACTGACCCCCACCCTGCTGGTTAGGTTTTCATCTTTCATGTAAAGTTTTGAAAGCAATACATATCGTTATTATTCGTTAGGTATATTACATAAAATTAAAATAATCTGCCAGTACTTATTTCCTATAATCTATTTACTATTTACTGATTATTGATTTATCGATTAGACATCAATATCAATGTAAAGCATGCGACTTAATCCTTCAGCTTTTGAAACCACCATACTCCCCACTTGATTAAGAGTAAAGAACAGGAATGGAGACGCGTGCATTGATTGCATACCTATTTTCCTGTTGATCTCAAGATGTACCCGTACAGGTAGTGTCTTAGACCTTGTACTCCTCAAGATGCATCCATTTCGTTGAAGACCATTTGTTTCCCCTAATAATGGGACAACCACCTGGAAGCATAGATCAATTATCTAAAATTTACAAATCCTCGCTTAGTTAAAATTGTTTACACAACAATATTTTGGGCAGCTGCTAACCATGTAAACTTGCAGGGTCTAGTGAGGCATCTGGTCTCATGCTCCAGAAAAGCAGAGCATCACCCATTTTGGGTTTCACAGAGAGACCCTTTTTACCGCATTCAGACAAATCATCCCACCAAGGGACAGAACTAAAATTTGCCCTCGCAGCAGGAAAGACAGTCTCGCCACCTTCTTCAACATCTGACCTGAGCCAGAAGCAGAAAGAAAATGATAGAGTAGGAGAAGCGGACAATTAAGAGTGCCCACACGGCCATCAGAAAGCAAAATGCAAAATTGTGACTAGGAAAGAGCAGAAGAACTCACAGATACATAAGAACAGTAGCAATACGTTGACCACCATTCTAACTGTAATAAAATCCACAAAATTGTACCCAGTTTGGGTGGTCCTACCTCAATTCCCCCCTTCCCTCTACTCACACGAAACTACCTAGCTAACATAAAAGTATCGATGCTCTTATGAGTGCGTGCGTGCTTCCGCTTTTAACATACCAAAGTGGAGAACGTACATCTCGTAACACGCATCTTATTGATGAATCAGCTAATTGAGGTATATGGAATATAGTATATATACACATATGTATAGTACACACACAAGAATTGTACGTCGTGATTGCTGATTAGTTGGAAATTGCGTGCGCAGGTGAAAGTTTCTGATGTTGAAGGAAAAATACTGGGGCTCTTATTCGCCGCTAACTGGTATCCGCCGTGCCGGAGATTCACCCAAATGCTGGTCGGCGTTTACGAGGAGCTGAAGAAGAATGCGTCAGAGTTTGAGATTATCTACGTGTCCTCTGACGAAGACACGGACGCCTTTGATATCTTTTACGGCCAAATGCCATGGCTGGCAATTCCGTTTTCTGATTTGGAAACAAAGAAAGCGCTGAATAGGAAGTACGACGTCGAAGGCGTTCCTTGTTTAGTGATATTGCAACCCCACGACGCTAAAGAGGAAGCAACTTTGCGTGATGGAGTTAATGTCATTTATCGATTTGGGGCGCAGGCCTATCCGTTTACCAAGGAAAGGTTAGAGCAGCTTCATCAGGAAGAGAGGGACAAGCACGAAAACCAGACTTTGACTAATTTACTGACCGGCCCCGGTAGGGACTGTGTTTTGGGCCACCCAGGATCCCGGCAGGTATACATATCTTGCCCATATCATATCGCGGATATTTATCTGTGTGTGTGTGTGTATACATGCGCGCGCGTTATTTGCGTGTTATTGTTTAATTTCGCCACAAATATTATTTTATTGATCAAGGAACAGTAAAGTTTCAACCCTTACTATTTTTGAAATTATAAGTTGAATTAGTATCAAGAAATACTTGTCATGATGTTGGACTGATTTACAGATGTGTGTGTGTGTGTGTGTGGAAATGATGACTGGGGATTGAATACGCACGGGTGCGTGTAAAGCGTGCCTGCATGTTATCTACGTAATTTCACCTTAAACAAACAAAAGAAATAGTACATGCATGAAAATAAAAATAAGTAGCATAATTGGGTAGTACTGGTGGTAAGGTTTAGATGGCAAGCACAATTGGCATGGTGCTTAATTGGGAGGCTGATGGTGTGAGGTAGCGTACGTGGACATGCAGGTACCGGTTGCATCGTTGGTGGGTAAAACAATAGGGCTGTACTTCTCAGCGCAGTGGTGCGTGCCGGAGCAGAAGTTCACTCCTAAGCTCATAGGGATATACGAAAAGATAAAGCAGGTGTTGGCGGAGAAAGGAGAGGCGAGGTTAAAGTGATATATCAACTATGGAATAAAGTGAGTCCCTCAGAGGCGAGGCCCACGTGTCATGAGTGGGGCATTTTCTGCTAATTTTTTCAACTTGACTGAGGTCACTCCAAAGCTCCAATTAGAGTAATATGGCATGATAGCTAACTAATGCATTTAATTAGGTGAGAATTACGTGATAACTTACTTTTATCTTGAGAAGTTTTATCTCTCATCAGTAAAATCAAAACGATTATTATGTATTATATATGTGACTCAACGGCATTATGGTTATTTATTAGGAAAGTACAAGGAAAAAAGCCAAAAGAAAAGGAGATATGGAGGGGTTTTGTATAAGAAATGGCGAAGATGCAAAGCGTGCAGACGATTTTGAATCAGATGCATGTCTTGCTGCTCATGCCACACATACCAATCCCCAGCGAGGACTCATGGAATCGGATCTCTTCTTCAGCGCAAAGCCACCAAGTTGTTCTCCCTCCCCTCTCATCAAAGCCAACGAGAAATGCACCATATTTGCCTAAATATGAATGTGTGTGTGTTTGTATATATAAGCTCCATTAATGAAAGTCATGAGCAAGCTATATTAAGGTGAACAAATTACGAGAGGTCGAGGGAGAGCCATGGGACTTGGTTTCTTCAAGGCGCTTTGTTGTAACAACTCTCAGCATGAAATTCCCATTGACTCCTCGGACTTCTCTCCTGGCCGCCCTCGCAAGCAGACGTACGAGGATCATCTGCACGACGTCAAACCAGCACCTACTTCGCAAGCGCAGGTCGGGCCGGTGCTGGGAAGGCCCTACGTAGACGTAACGATGATGTACGAGCTGGAGAAGGAACTGGGGAGAGGGCAGTCCGGGGTGACTTATCTGTGCACAGAGAAGAGGACGGGGAGAAAGTATGCGTGCAAAGGCATAGCGAGGGGGAAGCTGACGAGGAAGGAGGAGATAGAGGACGTGCGGAGAGAGATACTGACACTGCAGCATCTGTCGGGGCAGCCAAACATAGTGGAATTCAGGGGCGCATACGAGGACAGGCAGAACGTGTACTTGGTCATGGAACTGTGCACCGGCGGGGAGCTGTTTGATCGCATCATCGCCAAAGGGAATTATTCCGAGAAGGAAGCGGCGGCGCTGATCCGGCAGATCGTGACGGTGGTTCACGTGTGCCATTTCATGGGAGTGATGCATCGGGACGTGAAGCCCGAGAATTTCTTGATGACCAGCCAGGACGATCACGCCCCCATGAAGGCCACCGATTTTGGACTCTCCGTCTTCATCGAGCCCGGTTTGTGCTCCCCCTTCTTCTCATTTTTCACTTCAGTAGAATGGATGAGCCCAGGCCCAAATTACGTCAAATTGAGTTTGAGTACATACTTAGTGCCTGTTTGGAGTCACATTTAAGTAGCTTTTACGTAGCTTTTAACTTTTAATATGTTTGAGCGTATTTGAAAGAGTTTAAAAAAATTAAGAGCTTATGTCAAAATCATTCACTTAAGCCAAAAACTAAAAATTGCAGCTTATGGAGTTGGAAAAGTGAAGAGAGAAAGACAAAGCGTGAGTCCCATTTCTTTTACTCAAATAAATTTATTTTTACTTAATTATAATTCAAACAATTTTCTACCAATCTCATTTTTATAAATTAATTTTTTTAAACTCCAATCCAAATACAATTTACCTCATCTAATTTAACTTTTACCCGATCTTACTTTTTTAAAAGTCATATTAAAAATAAGCTGCCTTCTCCACCCGATCCAAACGGACCCTTAATTGGCATAGTCTTTGGGGCGGGTAGAAATGGGATAGAATATTCTTCGGTGGCGCCCGGCCGAAGGGCATTGGGTTGTGTAACCGTCAAGGAGGGTAGAATAAAACGAGAGAAGTAGAACACGTTTAGGGGAGCGAAACGCATGGTGGAGTATTCAGGCAAGTTTTTTGATCGCATTATTGCCAGAGGGGTTTACTGCGAGGACGAAGCTGCCGTCATATTCAGGCAAGTCGTCAACGTGGTTCACGTTTGTCATTTCATGGGGGTGATGCATCGGGACCTTAAGCCCGAAAATTTCTTGTTGGCCACAAGGCAACCCAATTCTCCCTTGAAAGCCATGGATTTTGGCGCCTCTGTCTTCATTGAGCCAGGTTTGTTCCTCCATGCGTTTTCCCAATTTCTGCCATTTCTCTTCTTCCCTCTCTTTTCCATTTTCGCCCCCCCAAAAAAAAAAATTTCGATTCCATATTCCTTTTGATTCCTTTTCCATTCTATAAAAGTTTTTTTTTTTAAAAAAAAATTCCAACTACTTTTCTACTTCCTTGAAGTGTGATTTACGCGAAGTGTCAAGCAATAACAACATTGACTGAGGCAGCCTTTATACTCTCCGCTGATGAACAATATTTCTGGAGAAGGGGAATTTTTTTTTTTCCCAACTTAAAAAAGGGCGGGGCTGTTTGGAGGATTTTCTGGATATATTTTTTGTTTCCATGATCCATCTCCATCTTCCTTCCGCATGCATGGAGCATAACAATCTCTTGAGTCTTGAATTTATATAATATGATTCTTTATAAAAAAGACGTGTTATTTTGAAAAATTATATTTTTTTTAATCTTCTATTTCGATAGTGGATTTATAAAATTAGTTATTTTCATAAGCGGAGAGTGAATATGTACATAGTAGATAGTTATGCTATACTCTATTTATATGAATAATGATACAATAATTATAAGACTGCTGCTGTTATATTTTTAAACAAAGTCTGTGTATAAAGTGCATGTCTTTAGAACATAAAGAGAAGATAATATGAGTTAGGCATAATAGAGTGGAATTTAACCGAATGAATTTCAAGGACTGGGCGACAGGATGAGTGATTGACCAAGTCGTCAATTAAAAAGTGAAACGAGAAGTCAACCGAGTAAACGATCTTCTGTGCGAAAGTCGGACAGTGACAAGTAAACGGAGTAAACTGGTTCATATTTAGTGGGGAAAGCAGAGGCAGATCTGAGGCCCACAGATTAGTGGGACCATCATGCTCACTGGTTATTTTCTGGGGCCATACCCACAATAATGACTATTGGGAAATATGCAACACGATCAATAACCTTGGGAAACAAGCAAGGTTAGCATGTTATCTAGGACGTTCTGGGATGAGCGATTTCTGCACTTTGATGGTGCCACCAGCAGCAAAATGCCTCAGAAAAGCGTTCAATAGAGAGAGCATCGTTATCGCTATCAATTTCAATTCGTTTCTTTCCCAGCAAGTTTTTATCAATACATTCTTATGAAGTGTAGTAATAATTAATAATAAGACTTGATGCAGGTAAAGAGTATAAGGAAGTCGTGGGAAGTTCGTACTATGTGGCCCCGGAAGTTCTAAGACGGAATTATGGAAAAGAGATAGATGTGTGGAGTGCAGGAGTCATTTTATACATCCTCCTTAGTGGGGTGCCTCCATTTTGGGCTGGTAAGGATATAATGCCTGCCTCTGTTCTTGTTCAACTGTACTCTGCAATTATGCGATATCTCTTCCACTCTCTTGTTCCCTCCACATTTGTTGTGTCCATATTTATATCTTCGTTTTATTGACATAATGAGTCAAAATTTTCCAGAGAACGAGAAAGGCATATTTGATGCTGTTCTGGAAGGCAAACCGGATCTTGAAAGCAAACCATGGCCTTCTATTTCAGCTTCTGCCAAGGATTTGATCAGAAAAATGTTGGCATATGATCCCAAGAAACGCATCACAGCCGCTGATGCCCTTGGTGAGTATGTAGTTGAGTTTAAACGCATAATTCTTCCGTTATTATGTAGATTCCAACAAATAACTTGTCATGTTTAGTCTGTAAGCCAGTTTTTTATTACAGACAAATTATAAATATTGTTATGCATTTGAAACAGAACATCCATGGATGATGGTGGGTGGTCAAGCATCTGACAAGCCTATAGACAGTGCCGTTTTAATTAGGATGAAACAGTTCAGAGCAATGAACAAAATGAAGAAACTTGCCCTGAAGGTAACTTCCAGCCTTTTGTTTTGTCAGTGAATTATAGTTAGTTTCTTTCTGGATTTGAAGTTATGGTCTAATTCCTGTTAGTGTTTAAGAAAAAGGCCTGAATTCAATGCTACTGGAAAGAATGCATGTCCATGTTCCACAGAATTTCTGTTTGATTCGTGGAACATTTGGACATCGTGTCATGCAAAGTCATTTTATTTTACTTGGTACTTCCCTCTTTTACCCTTAGTGACCGAAGGTTGGATTTTTGGAAGGTAATAGCACAAAACCTATCAGAGGAAGAAATCAAGGGCTTGAAACAAATGTTCCGCAATATGGATACAGATAACAGTGGCACGATCACACTTGAAGAACTCAGAGCTGGATTGTCCAAATTGGGATCCAAACTTAACGAATCTGAAATACGGCAGCTGATGGATGCTGTAAGTTCAATACCAGTGGATTTTTTTTTTGGGGGGGGTTGTGAACCAAGTTATTTAATTGATGAGAATTTTGAGCCTCTTCGAATGCCGTAAGAACAGAAAAATTGAATGATGAATATTGTGGGTGGTTGTGGTGTCTTCAGGCTGATGTTGACAAGAATGGAACTATTGATTATTATGAATTCATAACTGCCACCATGCATCGGCACAGACTTGAGAAGGAAGAGAACTTGTTCAAGGCTTTCCAATACTTCGACAAGGATAACAGTGGGTTAGTATACATGGGAATGCATATAATGAAATTGATCACCCGAAACTGTTTATTCTGGGAAATTATAGTGCAAGACTGTAACTTGAATCAGAATCATAAATAAACAAGTTATTATGTTAGTCTGTTGCTGAGTGAAGTTGTTTCTTACTTGGGTGGATATTGATCAGATATATCACGAGAGAGGAGCTTAGGCAGGCATTGACTGAATACGGAATGGGGGATGAAGCCACGATAGATGAAGTGATCGACGATGTGGACACTGATAAAGTAAGTTGAATGGTGTTGGTTTGTGAATTATATTATATGTTGCAAGATTTGATTGATGACGAGTCCCCATTTCTGGGTGCAGGATGGCAGGATCAATTACGAGGAGTTTGTGGCTATGATGAAGAACGCGGGATGAGACGAGTGTGTGAGAATGAAATAATGTATCCAACGTGATAATAAGCCAAAGGCATTATGGATTTTGATTGCTATGTGCTGCCATTTCCACTCTCAATTGCTTCTATCACTATTCTCTCGTGCTTTGAATAAACTTAACGGCGTCACTGCTTTCTTGTATGCTTAGCAATTTGTTACGCTGCCAATTTATATTTATCTCTCTGTTTAATATCCACCCCCTGCATTAATGGGACACATTCACTTAACATTAGTTATTGGTAAATAAGCCTGATTTCCCTCTAGTCAGAGCAAATGTTGAGGGCCATCGACAAAATTTAAGAGGAAGCAAATAATAAAAACTTGGGAGAGATTTTTTCAGATCCTGATGTTTTGAAATTAGAAATTTGTAAATTTCTTTTAAGCCTGGGGAAAGATTTAAAAAAGGGGTGAATAAATCTCATTTCCTGTCATAATCTCTCAAATTAAAGTGTTTTGATTTAATTCAAAAAATAAAATTAAATCTTATTAGTGTTTAAATATAGTAATAAAACTAATTAAAATAATGTATAATGCAATTGCAGAATTTTAATTGCAATTATGTTTATAAAGAAAAGGGATTAGGGAATTATCACCTTACTCTGATGTCACCTGTGAACTTTCTAGCATCCGTTTCGTTGGAAGAAATCTAACACGTTTTGGCCTTTGTTTTTTGACCATACTGATGTTGCCTCAAACTCAGCGAAAGGTTGCCTTTATTGTATAACGTAATTAATAATGACATGATTTTAATTGTACTTTCCTCTATAGTGGGTTATGATCTCCCTGATCCCTTGCATCCGTTGATCGTATTACTGACTGCTTTGAGTTAAATCATCATAAGACGATTTAGGGTTTAGGCTCAATAAACCATCAACAGATTGATTGATTAGCATTTAGGCCAGCTATCTATAGCGTCTTCTTCAGCGCTGCCTGCTAATTAAGGGAATATCTTTCTTTCTTTTTATTTTAAGGGGAAGGAATATCTATTTTTACGGGAAGAGGTCTTTACTAGGGGTGTTCACGGGACGGATCGGGACCGGGACAGGCCCGTCCCGGTTCCGTCCCGATGAACAGTAACGGGACAGATTTTCTGTCCCGTGTCCCGGCCCGTCCCGGGGTTGTCCCGGTCCCGGTCGGGACGGGACGGGACCGGGACGAGACCGGGACGTCCCGAAATATTTTTTTTTTATTTTTTTAAATTTTTTTTAAAAAATCTAATTTTTTTAATTATATTTTTTTGAGCTTAAATCTTATAAAAACATCTTTTTTATTTGTTTGGGCACTCTTAAACAAAAGCTCAAAATATTACATATAATAGTTATTAAAAACTCTAAACAAAAGCTTTTAACACAATAAAAACTTGCTAAAAATTCTAATTATCAATAATCTCAAATCATTAACAAATATAAAAACTCTAAATAAATATATCCATAGTTCCATACAATAGTCTCAAATCTTAAAAAAATATGAAAAAAATGATATTATATAAAAAATTAAAAAAATTAAAAAAAATTTTAAAAAAGGGAACTGGGACGGGACCGGGACGATCCCGTCCCGTGTCCCGTCCCGTCCCGGTCCCTTTTTTGTCCCGTCCCGGTTTGTCCCGTCCCGAAAAATTTCGAAAATCTGTCCCGTCCCAATAAGACCGAGACCGAAACGGGCCGACCGGGACGGACCGGCCTTGAACACCCCTAGTCTTTACTAATTGCCTTCCAAAAGATTTAAATCAAGTTGGGAAAATATGAGGCCGTTTGACGGGGAAAAACTGCATGAGTTTTACAATTGACAATTGTATAATTAACGAGGCCTGTAATAAAACAACGGATATGGCCTCGCGCTGAAATTACAAATTTAATTTATATAAATTGTAGAAAAATAATAAAAAAAAGAAGCCAAAAATTTGTAAATACCAAATGAAAAATGTCAACAAAAATTTATTATTATTTGTAAATTTTATATTGTCAACACCAAATAAATTGTTAACAAATCTGATTTAAGATTTAGTAATTTTTAGCTTTCTTTTTTTGTCATTCTCTCTGAGTTGTAAGGTAAACAATTTTTATTGTTTTAAATTTCAATTTTTACAGAATAATAAATTGTGAATAAAATAATTTATTGCTTATATTTTCAATATGCATAAAATAATAAATTGCAGCAAAAATTAAATTATTGTTTATTTTTTAGCATGCATAAAGCAACAAATTATAAAATATAACAAGTTCTTAAAATAACTTCTTCCCCACAGATAAAAAAAATATTAATTGACCTATTGTTTTGTTTGACCGTTTGAGTGTAATAAAAGGAAGGGATTAGAAATTTTAACAAGTACTATTTGGAAAAAAAAAAAATAAAGCAATGAGATTGAAAGTTTTTAATTAATTTTCCTTTCTCTATCCTCTAATATCATTCCGGTTTTTTTAAAATTAGACTTGTGACAATCTTCCTTCTTCCTTTCCCAGTTCCTACAAACTCATAAGATATTTATATTTTAGGTATGCACAAAAATTTGGAAAAAAAAAAACCGTTGACCGGTTAGTTTTGGATTTTATAATTCATTTAGCATGCTTGTTCGCATTTAAGTGTAATTACTCCTCCGGTCCTAAATATAAGACTCATTACAAAATGGGTTTTATATTTAGGACCGAAAGAGAATATCTTATGTTCAAAGATAAAAATACCGTGCGATGGAAAGGAAAATGACAACAATGTATTACTTTTCAGTTTGTTCAACAATCAAATACACCTGGCAAACCTGGTGCTGAAAAAAGCAACGCTAAGATCATGCTCGCCACACAAATCACCAAGCATTATTGTTCTGTACAGGGGAAAAAGAATACGGAGGCACCTCAGAAGACAAAAATGTCACTAGGCAGTCTAGCAAGGAATATACGTGAATCCTGCAATAAGAAATTACCAAGTGAGAAAAGAAAAGGGGAACTGCCACGGAAGACTTATAATGTCTCAATACTAGATATAAAAAGTGTGACGAGCTTCTTTGTTCATTAACTATGAATAATGCCGTCTAATCTATTTTGCACCACCTGCAAACGCATGAGACCTAATTTAATCATATCAATACTCCCTTCGGTCCTTATTAAAGAACTGTTGCATGCATATTTTGTCGTAAGTATTTTTTTCATCTAATATTCCTAACTATGAAACTTCTTTATAACCCCTTAAAAGCATTTAAACAAAAAAAAAAAAAATCACTTTCATATAAGTCGAGACAAAACTCCTTTCACATACATACCTTAAACATCATAAAATCACTTCTAAAAAAAACTAATCCAAAACCCCCCCTTAAGCAACTAAATTCCTTTAACTAAAGATATTTATTAAGGGTTCTTTAAACATTTTACCAGAAATAACTAATTGCAACATGTAGGATTTCTCTAACTATAAAAAGGACCAAAGGGAGTATATTATTAACTGTACAATGTCCAAACTACTGAACCCCTACCCTGCTGGTTAGGTTTTCATCTTTCATGTAAAGTTTTGAAAGCAATACATATCGTTAAGTATATTACATAAAATTAAAATAATCTGCCAGTACTTATTTCCTATAATCTATTTACTATTTACTGATCATTGATTTATCGATTAGACATCAATATCAATGTAAAGCATGCGACTTAATCCTTCAGCTTTTGAAACCACCATACTCCCCACTTGATTAAGAGTAAAGAACAGGAATGGAGACGCGTGCATTGATTGCATACCTATTTTCCTGTTGATCTCAAGATGTACCCGTACAGGTAGTGTCTTAGACCTTGTACTCCTCAAGATGCATCCATTTCGTTGAAGACCATTTGTTTCCCCTAATAACGGGACAACCACCTGGAAGCATAGATCAATTATCTAAAATTTACAAATCCTCGCTTAGTTAAAATTGTTTACACAACAATATTTTGGGCAGCTGCTAACCATGTAAACTTGAAGGATCTAGTGAGGCATCTGGTCTCATGCTCCAGAAGAGCAGAGCATCACCCATTTTGGGTTTCACAGAGAGACCCTTTTTACCGCATTCAGACAAATCATCCCACCAAGGGACAGAACTAAAATTTGCCTTGGCAGCAGGAAAGACAGTCTCCCCACCTTCTTCAACATCTGACCTGAGCCAGAAGCAGAAAGAAAATGATAGAGTAGGAGAAGCGGACAATTAAGAGTGCCCACACGCCCATCAGAAAGCAAAATGCAAAATTGTGACTAGGAAAGAGCAGAAGAACTCACAGATACATAAGAACAGTAGCGACACGTTGACCACCATTCTTAGTGTTGAACTCATCGAGAAAGTAATCATAGTGAGGCTCATATTTCTGCCCAACTTCATAGTGAAGAACCTGAAGCCCTTCTCCGTTCTCTGAATATTTTTTGGTTAATGAGCAGTTATATCTATCCCAAGCGTAGTAGGTACTACCATACTAGAGAACATAAAATCTTTCAACCAATCAAACAGGCATTAAAGTTACTTAAGCAGTAGAATACACCAATAAAGAAGGAAATAAGTTCCTCAGGAGAGTGTTCTAAGCAGTTTTACACAGGTAGCATACATAAACTCATACCTACGGGTATGAAGGTAAAGTCAGCTATTCTTTTTTCAATATTCCGGATGATTCTATCCCGTCCTCTCTTCAGAAACATTCCTGAACTAGTCCGCACTCTGCAAGCAGGGGAATCTAGCATTACCACTGAAGTACTGATGTCTCATACAGCACGTATAGAAACAAAAATACAATCCACAATTTTTGGGAACTTTATAAAAGAGAAGCAAGCGTTAACCTGCTGTCTTTACTCTGTCCAGTTTTGCTATCAACAACGGTCGATTTTGCCATCAAAGGTTTGGCAAGACTAATGAGGTATTCACATTCTTCTTTTGACTGTTCCACATGATAATCAGAATTAAGATTCTCAAAAATACAAATTTCAACAGCTTACAACCATGAAAACATAAGTAGAATTTAAGAAACTAAAGATGACCACCTACTCAACCTCTTATTGACGCAGAACAAAGATTAGAACGTTAAAGGGGCTGAAAAAAGGAGATGAGGATTATAAAGGGGAAGACGAGGGGGCCAAGAACATGTCAAAGAATGCTGCATGAAATTAAGCAAGTGAGGTAATACATATTCCTCTATCACACCTGCCGCCCCAACCTGCCACATGCCTACCGACACTTTTTTTTTTTAATTGGCCCACCAACAGTTTCCATGTTTGATAGTATACTGCCTAAATATCTTCAGATTTCATTCCCTTTTCTGCTTCC